ACCCGGATGGCAGTAATGCGGTTGACAGCATCGATGAGCAAAAAGTATGCCCAATGTACACACACACACACACACACACACACACACCCTACCCCAGTTCCCCCCGCCAAAGCCCACTGTCTCGTCTCAAATGGCGACCAGGAGGGCCTATTATGGCTCCCCCTAGGCGGCCCAGTCAGGGGTAAATTCTCTTCCAACGACCTCTACTGATCTGTGGACGGGGGAAGTTTGCTAACTAGGGATAATACAGTCTTTCCCTTCTTGACCCTCCAGCCAACACGACACGCAACTTCAACCTTCAGGTTCCTACGCCTCCAAAAACCGTCGTCTTCGGCCTGTTGCCTCCCGCGGACACACTCCAGTCAGCTACGGCCCACTTCCCCGCCTCCGAAAAAGCGCGAGAAGTCGGGCTTTACGCAGACGCGCCGCCACCCGTGCCTCCAATTGCGCAGGCGCAGAGGTCCCCTGCGTTTGGGTCATTGGTTCAAATGGTGTCGTCTGGCCTGGGCGATGAGAAGGACGCATGCTCGCTATCTTAGGAAGGAGAACATTAACGCACCTCCCACTCACAACTGTGAGGTACGTAGCACAGGAATGGCTGTAGGGACAAACCTGTTTCTGTTCACTGCTGAGGTGTACCCAGGACTGGTGGCACAACACACCCTCCCCACCCCCACCACGCGCACGTATATTTTAGGTTCTAGACATCAATTTGTAAGATGCTGGGAGTTCACTTAGAAGAGAGTAACTCAAAGGCCACAGGCCTCAAAACCAGGTCATAGGGTTTGTTTCAACTCCCTTGGTCATAGCTGGGAATTAAAGTCGCTTGGCAGCCAGTGGGAGAGCTGAGGCTGGGTTAAGAAGAGGGCCCTGCAAATCCAAGTAGAGTCAATAAGGATGGGCCTGTGCTGTGCAAGCTCGGTGGAGAACAAGCACTTGAGACCAGGGAGAGGAAACGGAATGGTGCAGTGACCGGGGCTCTGACCCTCACGTGATAGACGGTCACTGCCTGGCCCCCTGGTCTTGGGCAAGTTATTGACCTCCTCTAAACCTACATTTCGCTTCCCAATATAACTATTTAATTAACTGTTCTCAAAGTACTTAAAATAGAGAATGAACAGTCCTGGCACACAGTAAATGCTCAATAAATGTTAGCTTTTATTTAGTAACAGTAGCTATTTACTGAATGTTTACTAGACGCCATAAATAGTAATCCTAGCTCCACCTGGAGTCCAAGACATGTTTTGTTGTTACTATAACTTCTGACCATTTGAAGACTGGGATAGGTGAACAGAAATGTGCAGAGGGTCTAGAGATGGAGGGAAGGTTATTGGTACAGGCCTAGGACTATGAAACCATGAGACATGTACAGTTGACCCTTGAACAGCACAAATTTGAACCGTGCAGGTCTAGTTACACATGGATTTTTTTTTTAAAGATTTTATTTATTTATTTGACAGAGACACAGCAAGAGAGGGAACACAAGCAGAGGGAGTGGGAGAGAGAGAAGCAGGCTTCCCACCAAGCAGGGAGCCTGATGTGGGGCTTGATCCCAAGAGCCTGGGATCATGACCTGAGCTGAAGGGAGACGCCCAAGGACAGCTACACAGGAGCCCCTATATATGGATTTTTGTTAGAGTATGATACTGTACATGTATTTTCTCTGCCATGATTTTCTTAATAACATTTTCTTTTCTTGAGCTTACTTTATTGTAAGGATACAGTATATAATACATACACAAAATACATGTTAATTGTCTCTTGGTAAGGCTTCTAATCAGCCGTAGTCTATTAGTAATTTAAGTTGTTGGGGAATCAGAAGTTATACAAGGATTTTCAACTGCTTGGAGGTCAACACCCCTAACCCCTGTGTTGTTGGAGGGTCAACTCTTGTAAGATTAAGTCAAAAGAAGAATGAGGGGCACCTGGGTGGCTCAGTCAATTAAGGCACAGACTCTTGATTTCGGCTCTTGTCGTGATCTCAAGGTTGTGAGATAGAGCCCTATATCAGGCTCCCCCCTAGGTGTGGAGCCTGCATATGAGTCTCTCTCTCCTTCTCTCTCTGCCCCTTTCCCTCCTTAAAAAAAAAAAAAAAGAATAAGTATGAATGCTAAACTAAGGAATAACTTTGAAGGAATGGTGTCTTCATTTAATCTGAAAAAGATTTCACACAATAAAATGTCTGAAAAGATTTGTGAGTTGTCATGGTTCCAAAAAAGAGACCTTTAAAAATGACTAAAAGCTTTGGGGAAACCGATTTTTACCTTACACACACACACACACCCCACACACACCCCAAAAATGGATTTCTCATTAAAAACAAATACCTTAAACCCACTATGAGCAACATGTGTGTTACGTCTGTCAGGACTACTGACATGGTCAATGTGGAATCTTTACTAGCAGTGTATAAACTTACCTATTTTATACTGATCTTGTTTTGGCTACATTGATTTGTTTTCATCTGGAAAGTTGGTCAGAATGGGTGACAGCAAGAGGGCCACAAAGGAAGGAAAAAATTTAAATAGTGAGAGTAGTTTGATTAATTACATGACTGTTGGACAACCGCATTATGAATGAGATACCTTCCTTATATGTAATATTGGAGAGAAGACCCTCCTTATCCTCCAGTCATACTATTTTGTAAACAACAACTTAAATGTGTCTCCTACAAAATTTTTTGCATGCATTTATTGGATGAACAAGACTATGAAAAATTTATTCTCCCTTTGTTTTATACTACATTATTTTACTAATAAATCAGGCACCATCACCCCTACAAAACATTTGTAGTGCTGGAAATTACTAGGCTTATTCTTTTAAATACTTCCAAACATTAAATATTCAACCTAATAGTGAGATGGTGATAACTAGAAAGGGTTCCACTTTGTATACCATCAGTTCTTTGAATTTTCAAAAAAGAATTAGACTAATAAAAATTTTTAGATATTGTAGAGCTCAAAAATTTGGTGTGCTTTGGGAAACAGGGAGTTAAAAATCTTTCGGAAGTTAACTTGGTATAAGAGTATGAAAAGCCTCTGTTGCTCTAGTTCTAAGGAAATGCTCTCCTTTTTTTCTAATAAAGCTTTCCGCAGAAGACGAACTGTACACAATAAACAAGGTAAGTGTAGGACAGAATTGCTATAATTCTTTTAACTCTCAAAAAAGTTATTCATTTTGACATGTAAGGGAAACTTCATTTGTGAATGTTAAATGTGTTTCAAAGGGTTTATCTGTTAAAATTCCATAAAACAAGCCTCGAAATGCCAGTCATTTGTGCCAGCTAAGAGTAAATAACCAAGGCAGCATTTCCAGAGAGACTAGGGCAAAGGACAGAACTAACCACAATCAGCAGAAAAGAAATAAAACATAATCAAGTGTTAATAATTCACCATAGTTACAACTCTTAAAACAAAAGTAAACAATACAACTATCATTTGTTAACATTTAGGCTTGTTTTCAGAATCTCCACACTGAAGTGTTCTGTGTAAGTTGATGTGGATAGAAAATTAAAGGCTACAGAGGCATTTTCTTAGGTTAGAATGGTAATTTTAATGTGTAAATTTGGATTTCATTATTTTGCTTTCTCTAGCTCTGTATTACAATTTTTTAAAAGGAAGAACATAGGTATTAGTTTATTAAATATTATGAAACAGTCACATTTTATATTCTCCAACATGTGTTTTGTTTATATGCTTGTTGTTTCCTGAGCACACTGTAGTAACTGCTTATGTGAATTCCAAAAGAACAAAATTAGAACTTTGGGAAAGTCCAAAAATAACAGGAAGCACCCTGTTCTGTAAAAAACACTGGGCTTACAATCAGAAAACTTGGGTCCCAGCTCGATTTTCTCCTTGTAGCTGAGGGACTTTTCCTTTAACACTGCAATGGGAATGTCAATACCTAACCCACCCTATCTTAAAAAGTGAATATATGAATAAACTGAGATAACATGTGGGAAATTTAATTATAAATCAAACTTTTCTTTGGTTGTAATGAATTTCTCTTGTTGTACCCCTATCAAACAATGTGACATTACTAGTACATAGTATTTCCAGTACTTGAACGTATTTGCCTTTCTGGATGATTGAACATGAGATCAAATCTGATTTGGTTCAGAGTCATTTTCCAAAGGAATGTAATCATCTTAGTATTCTGGATAGTTTCCCCTAATAAGACCGCCTATTGAGTAACACATTCCAATGAAAATTCTGTACTGCCAGTAAGTTAGACTGTGTATTACAATAAACTCTTAATTTAGTTAGTATATATAGCATGCCCCAAGACATTTTCAAGCATTACAAAGACTTGAAAATTATCCCCAGTTGCTTTTCCTTTAGAATTAAGGCAAAAAAATGAGGATGATTCCTAAAGAAATTGATGGAATTATCAAAAACTCAATCAGAAAGAAATTAACGCATACTTCAAAGTAGCTTTTTAAGTCCTAGGGATCATTTCTTGTGTCTCTGACCATGAAAAAGCTACTGAAAGAAACAATACTGTTTCTTTCAGTAGAGAAGTAGAGAAGAAGGTCTCTTGGGATCTATCTGTCTTTGGCTGTTTTTGGAAGTGAGATTCAAATGTCCTCCGATGATGAAACAGATTGAACTCATTTCAGAGTAGAAATGTTTTCAAATGTGAGTGGAAACATAAATATCAAATAATAGCATGCATATTATGAGCCACTTCTTTTTTTTATATTTTTAAATTCTTTATATTTTTAAGGATTAGAAAAATATGAACTATTTTTACTATCACAAGTAGTTGTAGAAGCACCAATAGGTGACCTTCTAGCTGAAAGAAAAACAGAATTTTTGTATTAGTATGAGATGGTAATTTATTATTGCATTTAGATTGACTGACCATGTGAGGGAGTAAGAAGTTAAACAGTTGTGTCCAGTTAATCTCCGCATATTTTAATCCAAATATGGTAAAGGGCAGGGCTAAAGAAGGGAGTGTCCCTATAATAAACAAGGCTCTGAACTTGTAACAGAATAATAAATTATACTCCACTCACGAGAACTATGTACTTTGCACTTTGGTTAAAGTCTTGTTTAAATTTAAATTTCTAAACTTTTCTTAAGAAATTAAGTTTTATATGACCTCCTCTTTTCTGAATTGCAGAAATCAGATAAAACTACTTGATAAAAATGACTTCTTGTCATGTTACTAAAGATCCTATAAAAAAGGTTGCTATCTTTGGAGGAACTCATGGGAATGAGTTAACAGGAGTATTTCTAGTTAAGCACTGGCTGGAGAATGGCACTGAGATTCAGAGAACAGGGCTGGAAGTAAAACCATTTATTACCAACCCAAGAGCAGTGAAGAAGTGTACCAGATATATTGACTGTGACCTGAATCGAGTTTTTGACCCTGAAAATCTTGGGTAAGACTATATTTTGTGTTGTATGTATGGGTACATGTATGGGTGTGTATGTGAAAAGTGGTACGTGTGAGAGAATATGTATGTGTAGCACATGATATACAAATCCGTACATATAATTGCTGTTATGAATAAGATCACTTTCACTTTTAATTATACTATACTATGAATTTCTCAGTGACCTAAACTGGGCATTCACATGCTCTCTTATAAACTTTTGAAAGCATCAGACTGTTCTTAACTGATTTTCTTTTTAAATGCATTCTGTAAAGACTGAGACAAAAAATAACAATGGTTTTTATTTTTAAGCCATATCTTTAAAGAAACAGATTTAATGGTCTTATAATTTATTAGTGTTTGGCCACTACACTTGCATACATATTTGTTAGTTTTCTAGGTGGTTCGCCACTATGTGTTTATACCACTATTTTATGGTAGTACATAAAGTTCTAGTCAAGAATATTGTAACATTTCAATTAATATTTAATGAAAAATGTGAATAAATGCCCATCATAAAAAAAAATATATCAGGCAACTCTGAAATGAGGAGTAGATGTACTGGCTTCAGTGGTGGATCACTGAGAGTTAAAGATACTTCACCTGCATTAAATTTGAATTTAAATTGCAACTGGCTTATAATACATTGCACACAATATGCAATAATAATACTCTAGGTATTAATTATGATACATAATATGAATAATAAGTATTTTGCCTTTACGTAGGTCCTAGTGTAGATATATAAGCCTCTTAGTATTATTTGCTTCTTATCACTTTCTTTTATTTACCTAAAAATATTATTAAACACCTACTCTTTATGGGGCACTGTGCCAGGTACCGTGGGAGTACAAAGCTATGTACAAAATGGTTTTTGCCGACATCAAGTGGGAAGACTACTAAGATAGAAGACATGCAAAGGAACAACAAATACAGCACCGATTTATATACTCATTTTCTAGTAAAGACTAAATTCAGTTTAGAGTTTCTTAAATTTAATCTCACAGCCAATCAAAAGATGGTTATGACTTTTAGTTCAAGTATGCCTCACTTTACGAAATAGATATTTCCTTTTTTTTAAAGGTTTTTTTTTTCAAATTTATTTGACAAAGAGATAGCACAAGTAGGCAGAGCAGCAGGCTCTGGGAGAGGGAGGGGGAGAAACAGGCTCTCTGCTGAGCAGGGAGCCCAATGTGGGGCTCGATCCCAGGACACTGGGATCATGACCTGAGCTGAAGGCAGCTGCTTAACCAACTGAGCCACCCAGGAGCCCCAAGAAATAGATATTTTCTAGGGAAAATTATAATTAGTTATGTTCTGTGAATCAAATAATATTTTTTACTGGCATATATTTTAATCTCAGGAATACTTTATCTTTGTGACTGAGCTTATTTTGATACAATTAAGGTTTATCTAGTCACCTAAAATAGCTTTTAACTAACTCTTATAAGAACTTGTTGAAGAATAACTCTTTTAGGCAACTTCTCAAATGTTAACTTCTCAAATAACTCTGAAATGAACAGGGGTGAGTCTTCTTATTATGACCACTCGATAGTGTACATTTTCAATGAGAGCAGTCTTTTAAATTAAATACATTTTCTAGTTCTTATACTTGAATACTCTTCAGAGGCTAGACAGTTCTCTGTCAGGGTGGTTATAAAACTTATAGATAAGCTAATTACATTCTCCAGTCTTCCCTCTCCCAAATCTGTTCCTTTTCCTGTATTTACCCTCTCAGTAATGTCACCAATACCCACCAAATCCCCTATGGAAATCAACTTGGAACCTTCCCTGTTCCTCAAGCCCCATGTCTAGTAAGTCACTAAATCTTCCCATTTATTCAAGTATTGAATATTTTGCAAATCCAATCTTCCTCTGCATTCTCACTTCCTTAGTTTATTTCTTCTGTGGACAGTTAAAGTAGCCTCCTAAAGAACCTCAGCATTTAGCCCTACTCCAGTCCTTCCTGCTATTCACTCATAGGGATCATCCTGACCGGCAAATCTTATTATGTCTGTCCTCAGCTGAAAATTCTTCAAAAACCTCCTATCCAGCATAGATTTAAGTAACTTAGTATTGCTGCTCTGCCTTTTCGGAGCTTGCCCCTGCCTATTGTTTGAGCTTCATCCCTTGGGACTCCTCCTATGAGACCTGGACCCCAGGCATGAAAACGCAGGGTCCGTTATCTTTTAAGACTCCAGTCCCTAGCTCTGAGCAACTGGGCGGCTAGCGATGCCAATTATTCACCTGAGGGAGAATTAGAAGCAAATCAGTTGGGGGTAGAGGAAACTGGCAGTGTTGTTCTCTGAATTAACTTTTAAAATGCATATCTGGGTGGCTTAATTGTTGGGTGACTGACTCTTGATTGAAATTTAGGTCATGATCTCAGGGTTCTGGGATAAATCCCCACATCGGGCTCCATGCTCAGAGAAAGCCTGCTTGAGATTCTCTTTTTCCTTCTTCCTCTGCTCCTCCGCCCTAAAATAAATAAATAAATCTTAAAAAAAAAATAAAATGCTTATCTATCCATTAGGAACTGTGTTTGGTTGCATATAAAAACCTGAAAACAGTGGCTTAAATAAATGTTTTCTTTTTCACAAATAAACGAAGAGTTTGGCAGTCCAGCAGTGGTTGCAGTGGTTCAATAATATCATTGGTGCCACAGGTCCCTTCTGTCTTCCCACTGTACTGTCCTTCCTATGAAGCTTTTGTCCTCGTAGTTTTGGTTTATGGTCAAAAATGGCTGCTTCATTTTTGACTGCTTGATTACATTTCAGGCAGAAATTACCCAGGTTCAAACTGTAGGTCCCTTGAAGATACCAACAAAAATAGTCAGGGAACAGAAATAGATGGAATTATAGAGAAGTGGTTGAATTAAACCATTGTTTAATGAGGAATAATAAACTTACATCATCATCCTGTACAGTAAGAAAAAAAAAGTATCCTAAAGAGGAAGAGGACATAGAAACTCACTTGAGAATTCAATAAAAACTCATCCCAGAAAAAAAATATATATATATGCATATACCTGCAAAATTTTGCATTTTCTTAGAGCTTAACAGACGTTGTAAAACTTGCCGAAGACCCCTAGTGGTTCCCTGATCTCCATTAGAATCCCTAATTAGATAACATGATCACCTAAGTTTGACTATTTTCGGGCACTAGGAAATCAGCGAGAGGAAGAAGAAATTTAATGTGTGTTTGATGGTGTAGCCCCATAAAATAGCCCAGTGCACATAACTTTTTAAAAACTGTTGATTAAATTAATGAATAAATTTTGTTCAACATTGAAGTCAGATGGCAAATCCTATTTGAAATGTCTTTTCTGGGATCAGCCACATAAATGAACTATTATTTGTGAGCAGGACAATGCACCATTACATAAAATCAAATGGAGAAAAAAAGGAATTTTTTTATTTATGAAATTTTCAGATAAGTTCCACTTCCCTTACAGATTTTTCATATTAAAGGTTTGGCAACTGTTTCCTTATACACTATGTTCTTATTAGATATTTATGTTATCTTAGCCACAGATGTTGTTAATCTTTTTCTTTCTGTTAATAACAGCAAAAAATTGTCAAAGGATTTGCCATATGAAGTGAGAAGGGCTCAAGAAATAAATCATTTGTTTGGCCCAAAAGACAATGAAGATTCCTTTGACATTATTTTTGACCTTCACAACACTACTTCTAACATGGGATGCACTCTTATTCTTGAAGATTCCAGAAATGACTTTTTAATTCAGATGTTTCATTATATTAAGGTAATGTCAATGTTATTAATTTATATGTTAGTATAGTTCCTGTACTTTTAAGGCAGTTATTGGTATAAGACAAACAGAAAAGGATCAGGAGATGAGGGAGTGTCCAAGAGAGATGAGGGAATGAGAAGGACACTAGAATAGAGGCAGTGTTGACAAGCAGGACAAAAGGTGAGGAAATGAGTAAAATAATAAATATAGTGAATAAAATAATGAGACCGTTGTAGATACTTGTGTCTATAAAATTATAAATCTTTTATCCAGACAGCCACCAAGTCATAGGCTATTTGGTAAAATTAATACCAACGTTTAAATTGGTGTGGTTGAAATAGCTCAATTCTAGTTTTAGGAAGCTCAAGAAATAGTCATTTAATGTTGACTAAAAGTCAGTGTTAAAAGGAGTGGCTCTTTTTATTTCTGCCTTTGTCTGCATTTGATTCAGATACCCCAGCACACACCTATTCTTCTAGTACTTGGTAAAGTTAATCATTTTAAGGCTCAGAAATTTACAGGATGAAAACTTCAGCAATCCAGTGCCTATAGCTAGAGAATTGCTAAACCACAGCAAAACCACAAATAATAAACTCTATGTTTATTTCTGTGTAATGGGTACTCTTCCTTCCAGAGTGCTAGTATGATCTAGTGAAAGAGTTTGACCCACGGAGCCAGGAGAACCTAGGTTTATAAATGTCTTTTTTTTTTTTTTTGACAGATAGAGATTACAAGCAGGCAGAGAGGCAGGCAGAGAGAGAGAGAAGAAAGCAGGCTCCCTGTTCAGCAGAAAGCCCGATGCGGGGCTTGATCCCAGGACCCTGGGATCATGACCGGAGCCAAAGGCAGAGGCTTTAACCCACTGAGCCGCCCAGGCGCCCCAGAAGCTAGGTTTATAATCCTTGCTTTCTTACTCACTAACCTTGGACAAGATACCCCACTCCCAAAGCTGTGCTTTCCTTGTTGTATAAAATTGGCATAACAGCAACACTTACCCATATGGCTGTTGAAGCCTTAAATGAGAAGTATTTAAGTATTTAAAGCATTTACCCTCAAACCTAGCATACAGTAAAGAATAATTATTTTCGTTTCCCCTGAGTTTTTGATAATGAGTAGATAGTAGTTCTGGTTGGAGATCGTAATGGAGCAATTCTTCGTTGCTTATTGAAGGGAGAGTCGAACGCTCTGGTTGCCAGGCGTAGAAGCAGCATGGCTGACATTGTCTCAAAACCTGGAGGAGTTTCTTGAATTCTCACTCCGATCAGTGGAGGTGGGGGAAGTCACCCAACATCTACACAGACCTGGACTGTAGGGGTGGAAACAGAATTCATTATGTGATCAATTCAAAGCTAAGTAATAACTGTAACCAGCAGTGAAAACAAAAATAACCAAATCCCTCCAGAAGGAAAAATTATTTCCTGTGCTTTGATCACGGTCCTGGAGAATTGTTTACTGTACCTTCTACCCAGAAAGCTATGCAGGATTCAATTTGATATGTAATGCATTGGTGTGTTTTCAAGTTATAATAATAACACTGAATCTTAGAGTATTTCATAAAGCTGTCTTGCTAATCTTAGCTGATGTGGTAAAACATATTGAAGGCATTATTGACTCTCCAGTGGAAAAGAGAACAAAGCAAATGGTCTTTATGTAGTAAGAAAGATGTTTTAATTTCTTTTCAGACTTCTTTGGCTCCATTACCCTGCTATGTTTATCTTATTGAACATCCTTCCCTCAAATATGCAACCACTCGTTCTATAGCCAAGTATCCTGTTGGTAAGTCATATTTTCCATTGTCACAACTGCACAAAATGTATCCTAGGTGAAACTCTGAGAAAATTATTTTTTAAGAATATTTATAGCTATCTTGCTAATTATTATGGCTTATAACTATCAGTTAATAAGCAAACTAACTCCAGGCAGGCTCTAATTATATCAAATTTCTTCAATTTCATTGAACAGCTTTCTGCATTCCAGGAGATAAACAGTGAGCTGAAGGAACTTCAGTCTTTTATAATGAGCAGTAAACATGCCTACCTTTTGTCCCTAGAAAGAGATCATCCCCGTTTTCCAGGACTGTTCACTATACAAACATTCTTAAAAAATAATCTGGAACCAGGGCAGTCAGTGTCTTGCTGGGAAGACATGCAGAAACACAAAAGACCCATGAAAAATCTTGTCAACATTCTTCTTAGCACCTGCTTTGCATTCATGTCTCCCATAAACTGTTTGCTATCCATTCATTTGTTTGCCCTGAATGTTACTTGGTTGTGAATTCATCTTTGCCTTCTAGCAACTTCCAACAGAAAGGTTTGCATACTCAGTCTCTTTTTTCTGTATTCCACTCTCTTCCTGAGTGACCTACTAACATAGTTGTTTGCAGATATACTACAATCATTAAAATTGCTATCACAACTTAAAATCCTTTTTTGTTAGATCTCAAATGGTTTTAACCAAGAGTAATTCAATTTAAAAACAAGTTGTCAAACAATATAAGCAAATTTAAAGTCATCCTCATTATTCAGTTGTTGATAATTTGGTGTAAAATCAGGTATCTCCTGGGGCAGGCTAAATATCCAAGTATAGGTAATTATTTATTTTTTTTAATATTTTAATTATTTATTTGATAGAGAGAGAGAGATCACAAGTAGGCAGAGAGGCAGGCAGAGAGAGAGGAAGAAGCAGACTCCCTGCTGAGCAGAGAGCCCGATGCGGGGCTCGATCCCAGGACCCTGAGATCATGACCTGAGCTGAAAGCAGAGGCTTAACCCACTGAGCCACCCAGGCGCCCCAAGTATAGGTAATTATTTAAAACAAACCAAATGCTTAAGAATAAAGGATAGAGAGCCTATTTCTTTGGGACACCAAATAAATCAAAAGATTTCCACACTTTGAAAAAGCAGTCTTGGTTTGTGATGTTTGTGGGGGCAATGCTGCTCTTAGCTAGAGCAAATATCTACCAGTATGTTTGGTCCTAAAAAATAAAAACAAATCTTTCAAACATTTTAATATGACAGAGTATTAAGATCATCATAAATAGTTAGAAATACTGTATGCTCTCCCTGCAATTTTGCTATTTGGAATATTTTTATACCATCCACTCATTGGGGAAAAAAAACACTTAAGATCAGAGGAAAAACTATCTGCAACTCAACATTTTTTTTTTAAGATTTTATTTATTTATTTATTTGGGGGAAGATCGCAAGCAAGGGGAGAGAGAGAGGAGAGGAGAAGCAGACTCTCCGCTGAGCTGGGAGCCAGATGTGGGGGCTTGATCCCAGGACCCTGGGTTCAAGACTTGAGCTGAAGGCAGCCCCTTAACTGACTGAGCCACCCAGGTGCCCCTCAACATTTTGTAATACACCTATAACTTTTGCTCATAGAAATTTGCTTTAGCTTCTATTGACCTTCTACAAGAACTCCTTTTGCATTCTTTTGCCAAGGCACCTAAAAAATGGCAGGATCATTCCAGATAAACTTTATTCCAGAAAGAAGCTGTTTGCTTCAGCCAGCCTTAAGATCATTCCTAGAATCTTCTTCATTTTCTGTCTGTATCTCTGTTTGTCTGTCATGTGTGCGTGGGCATGCACACACGCGTGCACACACACAGAAGACTAAACAGATTTTTCTACTAACTGTCCCAGGTCGACTATGGCCTCATTAGAGACTCAGAAGATTTAATTTTATGACCGTTACTTCTTCAGCTCCACTCAGGACTATGCCATGGCTGTTTTCTACAAATCTAAACATTCTTCTCTGACACAGGATCTTGTGTCAAGGTTAATTGCTGGTTTAGAAAATAAGGCCGCCCTATTATCTTCCACTCACAATCAGAAAGGGAAAAAAACTGTCAATAACTGACTTCTGGGTCAAATACCCACTCCTAACCATCATATCTTCTCTCCACATAGGACTGCCCCACACCACACCTTCCATCTCCCCCATCTCCCCCCAGAACAAGGAAACGTAGAATATTTTTTGGCTGCAAGAAGCTCAAATGGCTTAAGCAATAAGATAGATTTATTATTTTATGTAACAGCTCAACAGCATCATGAAGAGCTAGGTTCTTCTAGACTAGAACGTCTACCATTGTTAGCATTTTTTTAGCAGCCCCATGGCCACAAGATGTCCTGTAATTTTAAGCATCATATGCCAACAAGATAATATCTAATGAGTGAAAGAAAATTCTTAGGAACTCCCCTGCAGATCTTGTATTATAACCACTTGGTTAGAACTGGGTCACATATCCATTCTTAAATCAATCACTAGGGTAATGGGAGTACTCTAATGACTTATATTATTCTACATTTACACCTGAGCTGGAGAAAAGTTCCTTTACCTGGAAGATTGGACCCCAACCAAAATCAGGACTCTGTTAACGGAAGAAGGTAGAATGGCTTTTGGGTGGGCAGCCAACAATGTCTTCAACAGCACAGATGTAGACATGTCCTTGAACATGTTTTCACACATCTGTACAAATCATTTATACACAAGATGCTTACCTCGGCCACACTTATACCACATACTTAAATATATGTCCAAACGTGTATACAAGGAAGCTAAGCATAGGAGCACCTGGGTGGCTCAGTGGGTTAAGCCTCTGCCTTCGATTCAGGTCATGATCTCAGGGTCCTGGGTTAGAGCCCCACATCTGGGTCTCTGCTCAGTGGGGAGCCTGCTTCCCCCTCTCTCTCTCTGCCTGCCTCTCTGCCTAATTGTGATCTCTCTCTCTCTCTCAATCTGTCAAATAAATAAATAAAACCTTAAAAAAAAAAAGAAAGCTAAGCACAACAAATAAAAAATGTTGATCGGGACACCTGCATGGCTCAGTGGGTTAAGCCTCGGCCTTCAGCTCAGGTCATGATTCCAGGGTCCTGGGATCAAGTCCCACATGGGGGTGGCAGAGGGTGGCGTCCTTGCTCGGCGTGGAGCCTGCTTCTCCCTCTCAAATAAATAAAATTCTTTAAAAAATATAGATCAAATACAGAAAGATTGTGTGAATTAAGAAATGAGAGAAGTGAGTGAAAACAGAATGGGTGAAAAAGAATGTATATGAATACATATGAATCGTCTGGAAGAGAATGGATGATATTATACTTGGTAAATGGTTTAAAAGTGGAGGAGGTAAGAATTGGAGGAATACCTGTGTTGGAGGGATAACTGTAGGGATTGAAGGGAACAGGAGGGAAGTGACTAGGTATTTGGTGTAAGACTGGATTGGCACTCGGGGCACCTGGGTGGCTCAATGGGTTAAGCCTCTGCCTTTGACTCAGGTCACGATCTCAGGGTCCTGGGATCAAGCCCCGCATAGGGCTCTCTGTTCAGCGGGGAGCCTGTTTCCCCTTTCTCTCTCTGCCTGCTGCTCTGCCTACTTCTGATCTCTCTCTGTCAAATAAATAAGAACTTAAAAAAAAAAAAAGATTGGATTGGCTAGGAGTGAAAAATAAATACAAATTTATTCTAAGGAAAACTAAAACTGTCACACTATCATGTCAGGATGGGTTGTTATGTAAGGGTAAGTAAGAATGTTGCTCTAGGGTCACATAGATTGTCATGTTGACTTACATCCATGGCTCTAGATTTCTGTGACTTAAATGGATGACTTTCCTCCAGTCAAAACTAAATATTAGGTCTATGACAGTTTCTCTTTGTGGCCACTTACTATTTTGTCAATATAAATTTGTCTACTCTGTTTATTAGGTTATGATATTAAGCATTTTGACAATATTGAAGGAGAAGAAAAATGACCCCAGGATTTTACTATTCTAATATAACTCTTTGATATTTTTCCAAATTTTTTCCCAGTCTTGATTCATTATGCTTATAGCATGTACATGCAGATGTTCTGCTTTCATTTTTTGCCTAACATTGTCTCAAATATTTTCCATGATGCTACATGGTCTATCTTTTTAATAATTTTAATCATGGATTATAGATATTTATACATCAAAATGATCAATTTTATAATGTGTTGTAATACTCTTTGTATAAATATGACTATTTCCCCTTTTGTACCGAGGTATAGAAGTTGGTCCCCAGCCTCAAGGGGTTCTGAGAGCTGATATTTTGGATCAAATGAGAAAAATGATTAAACATGCTCTTGATTTTATACATAATTTCAATGAAGGTAAGCAAGAGATTGGAACTGTTTACTTGTTAGTGTGTGTGTGTGTGTGTGTGTGTGTGTGTAAAGAAATCAGAAAAGGGAGCTGAAATGAGCACACAGTGACTTAACCACTGAACACTGAAATAGCAATTGTCAAATTTACCATGCCCATGGTAGTAGATGATTTTTAAAAATGTTATTCACTTCAGCCATTCTTCAGTGACCAGAGTAGACAGTTAAGAAAAGCAGCTACTAAATAAAGCTCTCCAAATAAAATCCTCATTTTCTAATTTCCAGTTTAAAAAGCAAATACTAAGAAATTAAAATGTCCAGTAAACGTATAAAAAGATGTCCAATATTACTAGTTATCAGAGAAATGCAAATTAAAATGAGAAACCATTTTCTCCCATTAAAGTGAAAAAAATATTAAAATCTGATAATATTAACTGTTGGTAAGTGTATACGAAAAGAGGATGCTCTCATCCCTGCTTGTTTAAGTTGGTAAGGGCACTTTAGAGATAATTTTTACAGTATCCACTTTTTAAAATACACAAATCCTGTGATCCAGCATTTCCATATCTCAAAGAAACACAAACACGTGCACACCAAGACGACATACACAAGGGCGGATATCAGTGTCATAGTAACAGCAAAACAGAAATGACCTGATGTCGATCCATCGGTGAACAATTAAATAAACTAATGTGGAAAGATCTTCAAAATATATTGTTAATTATAGAAAAGAAGCTACAGACCAAAACATGCAGTATACCAATTTGTTTAGAATAATAATAATAATAGTAATAAATGCTTGCTTGAATACATCTACACATATATCTTAATACACAGGAAAAGTTCTAGAGGAAAATACACCAAACTGATAACCATTGTTATTGGGGAGGGGAGTGAAAAAACAGATTAATTTTGTTTTTATTGTTTTCAAGGTGAATGATGCATTCATTTATTATTTGTGTAATTAAAAAATAATTAAATGGGGCTGGTGGTAGGATGATATATGGAACTCCACTATCTGCTCATTTATTTGGTAAACCTAAACCTGCAGCAAAAAAAAAGTCTTATTAGTTACTAAAATTACTAAAAAAGTGAATTTTTTTCTTTCAAAAGAATATTTTTTTAATTTAAGTTCAATTAGCAAACATATAGTACATCATTAGTTTTTGATGTAGTGTTCACCAGTTATCCCATCCCTTCACTCCCCTCCCTTCTGCAACCCTAGGTTTGTTTCCTGGAGGGAGTCAGGAATCTCTCATGATTTGTCTCCCTCTCTGATTTTCTTTAAAATTTAAAAATAAAGTATAATTAAAACCAGAGAGACCTGAAACTAATATAACACTGTATATTAATTATCCTGGAATTAAAATTTTAAAAACTTAGTAAAATTTTAAAAACTTTTGGGGCACCTGGGTGGCTCAGTGGGTTAAAGCCTCTGCCTTCGGCTCAGGTCATGATCCCAGGGTCCTGGGATCAAGCCCTGCATCAGGCTCTCTGCTTGGCTGGGAGCCTGCTTTCCCCCACCCCCTGCCTGCCTCTCTGCCTACTTGTGATCTCTGTCTGTCAAATAAATAAATAAAATCTTTTAAAAAAATTTTTTTTTAATTTTTAAATATTCCTAAAAGAAAGAGAGAGAGAGAAAATCCTATGGAAATAACTATTCCAGAAGGCTGAATCGAAATTGTTGTGGAGTTGGTCATTATAGTGACAAGGCTGGAGAATAGTTCAGTGTCGTGGGGTATATAATTCCTTAATGTCAGATTGTGCACCCTACTTCAATCACAGGAATTTCTTTTCTGCTTAGGAATCCTTTGACTCCAAAGTCATAAAGACTGAAAATCAGATTTTTGCCACCTTTGTCTGAGGACAGGGTCGATAGCATTGAATGGACCTGGTATTGGGAAGGTCACCACTAATTTATAAGACACCCTTCCAATAATAAGTGTGGGACTACAGTACGTTAAGAAATGATGTACCAGGTAGAAGGCCACAAACCTGAGTGAAGAAACATGGTTTCCAAATCAGAGTCCACAGAATCCTACTCGAGGGGTGGGGGTCTCCTAGCTGCCCAGTCGCTCTGGGACAGTTAAGGACAGTTGCTCCAGAGCAGTCCTACTGTTTTATTGCTCTTCCATGTAACATTTCACTTAAGCAAAAGATTCTACAGTTGAGAAATGTTAAACCACTATAACTTTTTAGTTTGGTGGATTTTTAACTAACATGGAAAGAGCACAATTACCCAAAGAATGCTGACAAAGAGATAACCAACCACCTAGAGAAAAATCTCTAGAAATGTGCAGAAGAGCTCCGTCCTTGACTCTGTGCTACTCAAAATTGTCAGTAAGTTGGATAAAGATATATGTGACATGCTTATATATAAATGAAAGGTGTCAGGAAGCTTGCAGGAAAATATTCAGGGTCAGGAGGTGGATCCAAAAAGTCCTGACAATCTTTAACAATTGTCTGAAGCAAATGCTTTAAGTTAAATACATTACAGGTACAAAGTTTGCTTTTATGTTTAAAAAAAAAAAATCCAGGAGGTGATGGTCTCTCTCCTGCATTGAATAAACACCACTTGGGGAACTGTGAATAAATTCTGAGTCCATATTAGTGGTTAGCCAAGGAATAAATTAAGAATGCTAAAAGGTTTGAAAACCAAAATAAGAGTAATCCCTAAGACACACACAGAACTTGAATTTACAAATTACCTTCACATAGAACCTCATGAATGTGACCATGTAGGAGTAGTAAATAAGAATATTTAGATCAGCAAAAGAAGACTTTATATTGGAGTTTTAGAAGTGTTATATTGGAAAGCAATTAGACTTGTTTTCTGTGACTGAGGGCAGAGTAGAATCAGTGGGATAGAGTTACCTACAGGCATAAATTTCTAGTTAACACTGACCACACTTTGTGAAGCTGTCCGAGCTAGAGTAAGATGACCACCAGTGGGCCAGAAAGAGATGGAGAATTCTCAAGCACTGATGAAATTAGGCATTTGAGGCTCCTTCAGACTCTGAGATTCAAAGTAGCAAAAACATGCTACTTTATTTTCTACCACTTTTTCCTTTACTCCCAATGGACCTTCTGCTTTAAAGAGAGGACACCTGGTAAGTTTCCATCTTCCCCTGAAAGGTGGGGTAGATTGTAAAAATGGCCACAAATTCTTTCCTTCTCTGCGTCCATGTTCTTACAATGTGCTGTTTTAGATCCTTCTACCAAGAAATGGAGTCTCTTTCCCTACCTCCTGAATTTGACATGTTTTGTGCCACAGAAGAAATTTGAAAAGGACTTGCCCTCTGGGGGTTGCGCTCTTGCTCCCCTTGCCAGTATGTGGATCAGCCTGGCCTAGCCTCTTAAATAATGGGAGGTTATGAGGCAGAGGACTCAGACACCCTAGCTCTAGCCCCATAGGCCTGTCAGATGCCAGACATGAGAGTAAGACCATCTTAGATCATCCAGCCCCCAGCTGACCTGCCAGCTTACCACAAACACATGAGCAAGCCAGTCAGAAATCAGCAAGCCAGCCTAAACCAGACAAACTGCTCAAACAACCCACAGAGTCATGATAAATTGAAGGTCCTTGTATGACACCATTGCGTTTGGGGGAGTGTGTTAAGCAGCAAAAACTGATATAGAAGTGATCACAGGTTACCACATTCCAACCCTGGCTGCACTTTCTGCTCTAAAGACAAAAGATTTTTCTTTGAGTTGCAACCATAGTGCACTACGAGCCCTATGTTGGATGAAACTTCATCCTTTTACTCAAGGCTGCCTGGTATACATGTACACTACGTCTTTTCCAAGTTTCTGGGCTGTTTGATGTTGCTGCATCTTTGGAAGGAGGACCCCACTGTTGGCAGGTTGCCTGTTTCCCTGTGTCTCACAATACTATGTTGAAAGAAGGGGCACAATGCTGAAGTCATCTAACCTGCTGGCAGTCCTCCTGAGGTTGTGCGATCATAGAATGTCAAAGCTGGAAGGAACCTCCAAGATAAGATAATTCAAAATCTTCATTTGACAGGTGAAGAAAGTGAGCCTCAAGAAGTTAAGCTTCTTGCTCAAGATTACACAGCTGGATTAAAGCCTGGGTATCTTGACTTCCATCCCAGCCTCTTTTTCTCCCACACTGGCTTCTCAAGTCCTGTTATCTACTTCTATCCATTAGTGTATTTGTGGACAATGTACCAATAGGAGTAGTTTGAGAACTTCTTTTGGCCAGATGTTGTTTATGAATATCCTTAACTACAATGATATGTTCTTGTAACTGTCTTCATTTTTTGGTGGTTGTTGTTTTTCCCTTAAAGTGTCAACTTCCTTTTTTTTCAAGAGGCATTTTTAGTCACCAAATATACATATTGTTTTCACCATAGGGAAAGAATTTCCTCCATGTGCTATTGAAGTCTATAAAATAATGGAGAAAGTTGATTATCCCAGGAATGAAAATGGAGATATTGCTGCTATTATCCACCCTAATCTGCAGGTAACATTTGCCATTTCTTTAAAGTATTCAAAATAATGATGCTCCACCTTCCAATAGAACTTAATAGCTTATAAACCATTTTACATACATTAACTCATTTGTGTTCTCAAAAACCCTACCGTATAGGTGGGGTATTCAAACCTTCATTCAGTAAATATTTACTGAGTAGATCCGTGCTGGCTCGGGGGGTACACAAATACTTTTGTGGTATTTACAAAGCAGATATACTAAATGCTAAACTGTGGTTTAGAAATCAAGATAACCAGATGCTATAACAGAATAATGAATGTAGGGAGGAAGGGGTCAGGCAAGCCTCTCAGGGAAGGTGAAATTCCTGCCCAAGTGCAATGGGCAGGAATCAGTGTATCTATTTTAACTTAAGAAAACTGAGGTTCACACAGGCTCCCACTTATGGAATGGATAAGTCACAGGGTAAAAGGCAGAACACAGGGAATATGGCCAATGCTATTGTAATAGCCTTGTACTCTGACAGTAGCTATGCTTGGGGTGAGCATAGTATAAAGTATAAACTATGCTGTACACCTAAAACTAGTGTAACACTGTGTGTCAACTACATTCAAAAAAATTTTTTTAAAGAAAACAGAGGCTCAGAAGTTAGATCTTCCCCATAGTCGTGTAGCTATCCGTGGCAGATCTAGAACTAATGTTCTTTGCGGTTTGATCACATTGCTGCCACCTCCCTGCGCTCCGTACTGAATAAGTTAGAGCAAAGCATTCAAATTTCTTCCTTTGCAATGTTTTCGGCCACATTCTTCACTCTCCTCAGAACCCTAGTATGTGTTCCTTGTCTGGCTTGATCAATTATGGCATAGTTAAGGGAGAAGAAAAGGCTCTTGGGAGAGTTTAAAACTGGGAAAGGCAATGGTAGAAAAAAGGAGGAGCAAAGATTCCAAAACGCTAAAACATCCATTCCCATTGTGAGTACCCTACTCACCCTTAGACATCAGAGATGGAGGAGACCTGGTGGATTATCTAATCTGGGCCTTTCAGCTCTGGCTACACATTGCCTAGAGAGCCTTTGAAAAATAATGATGCCAGGATCCCACTCAGATAATCTGATCTTATTGGCCTGAGTAATCAAGGTGGAGAATCACTGATTCAGTTCAGATTCCTATTTAATGACCTTAATACTAGTCATCCAGACTTACAACTTAAAAAAGTAGCCTGCCCCAAAATACAGATAATTGGAACAAATTGTGCTTGGTGCCTTTGTGGGATCCAGGTAGACACCAGAAGGAACCTTGGGCAGTGATTTAAAGGAAAGAAAGATAAAGAGTGAGGGAGAAAGAGGAAGTCCTACAGATAACAAAAATAGCAAGTCCAGAAACAGAGGCCAAGATGTTGATGTCCTAACTGACTACAACACGGGATTTTTTTAAGCAATTTGTATTCCTCAGGGATCCGAGGAATAGTACAAAATCATCGTGGGGAGGCCGAGAAGTGAGGCGGAGAACAGTTAACAAACAGGGTTAGTGGTAGGTGTTGAAAGGAAGGTTAGTGTTGTTCTGATGGCTCTGTATTCTACAAGGAAAAGTGATTCATTAGTTATTGCAAAAAATATATTTGAATGACTAAGTCTATTCTAGGCCCTGAGATTCAAGATAGACAAAGTCCTCCATGGAGCTTCCATACCAAGCAGGGGAGAACACACCATGAATAAGTAAACAATACATAAACAAGTTCATTTCAAATTGTAACGAGTACTATAAAAGAAATAAACAGAAGAATAGAGGCTAGCAGATGGTTCCTATTAGATGAAATGGTCTGAAAGAGCCATCTCTGAGATGATGGCATTGAAGCTGGATCCTGGACCACGAGAAGTCAACCACGTGGAAAACAAGTCCAAAGACCCTGGGGCTGGAAGGAACTTGGAGTGTTTGAGGACCAGCAAGACCAGTGTCAGTGTAGAGTAGGGGGTGAGCAGAGAGGACGGTAGGCCCTGGAGCTAGAGACACAGTCCAGGTTTTATGCTAAGAGTGATGGTTCTTAATCAGGATCTTCACTGGAGTGACCACAAGGATGTACCCCCAAATGCTGGGAGCCCATTACAAAAGCACCAACACAGTGCTTCTCAAACTTAGACCACAGGAGGGGTGCCTGGGTGGCCCATTCGATTGAGTGTCTCTGCCTTCGGCTCAGGTCATGATCTCAGACTCCTGGAATCGAGTCCCATGTCAGGCTCCCTGCTCAGTTGGGAGTCTACTTCTCCCTCTGCCTGCTGCTCCCCCAGTGCTTTCTCTCTCTGTCAAATAAATAACTAAAATCTTAAACAAAACAAAACGAGGGCACTGAGGAGCTTTGAAAAATCTTGATTCCCAGGTCCCATCCCCGGAGATTCTGATTTAATTCATCAAGGTGGGCACTGGATATCAGTTAGGCTCACCAGGTGATTTTCCCATGGCTCCAGTCTGGGTAGCCCTGCCTGACCGTGGCATCACTGCAGGTGTGGCAAAGCAGCTGTGTCACTTGTTCCAGAGGCACATCTCTGGCTGCAAATCACGGTCCAGAGCAGCTTTTCACACGCTGTCCTACAGAGTCACCTGGGGCTTTGAAAAACAAAACCAGCCAATAGGGAACTCTAAATAGTGAAGCGAGGGAGGGATGTGATGGAATCATGCACCATCGTTCCATATTCTGTGCTTACCTGACTCTCTACTGTGCATATCCCAACTCATAGAACAGTGCATAAAAATGAATAAATTTTACTCTATGTAAATTTTGAAATAAATGTTTTAAAATTAATGGCACCTGAGCCCCACCCTTGAGATTCTAGTTTCATGTATCTGTGGTACAGGCAGCCCTTCTACTCATCTATATTTTTTAAACATCTCAGGCGATTATAATGTGCAATCATGGTTGAGAAAATTGCCATAATGCAGTGCTTCCCAAACTTTAATGTTGTGCATGTAAATATCTGGAGATTTGTTAACATGAAGATTTCGATTTAGCAAGTTTGCAGTGGGGAATGAAATTGTGCTTTTCTAATAAACTCCCATGTGCTGCTGGGAAATGTTAGAAATGCAGACTCATGGGCTCTGCCCCAAACCCATAGAATCCAAATCTGCATTTTAACAAAATCCATACACCACCTGCAAACATGTCAAAGTTTGGGAAGAACTGGTTTAGGGTTCCTGTGGTGTGACAGCACTGGGGTTTGAGGGCTCAGAGGTCCAGATCCCTGCTGTGGGACATTCCAGATAACTCAGTTTTTACCACGGAATACACTCACCTTATCCTAGATTTGCCCCAGCCCACCCCCACTGTCTATGCTCGAAGCCCATCCAAGTAGAATCCCTTTGCAGGCAGGCACGATGGTACCATTTTCACATCCCCAGCAGTATAATGCCCAGCACACTGAAGGGTCTTAATGGTATTTCCTAAATTTTGCTGAACAGGTAGAATATACACTTAGAGAGACACGTGTTATTTTTGTCCTTTCATACTCTAAATCTCCTTGGCAACATTCAAGGCAAACTTGGTATTGAGGCAAACTCTAATTACATGTATCAGTTATAGAAATTAAATGCGAACTCTTAAAACTGCAGCCCAAAGTAACGGTTCGGCCTCAGTTTAGTGAGATCATGGTGTGCTTCCTAACACATCTGTCCGGTATCTCCTTATTTTACAGTGCTGCAATCTGTTAGTTGTCTGTCTAGAGCCCAGCTTAAACCTTTAAAAACAAGGGAAAAAAACAAATGTAACTTATGTTATTTTAATTGTTTCCTGAGAGGATCAAGACTGGAAACCGCTGCACCCTGGGGATCCTGTGTTTTTAACTCTTGACGGACAGATAATTCCATTGGGCGGAGACGATACTGTGTACCCAGTGTTTGTAAATGAGGCTGCGTATTACGAAAAGAGAGAAGCTTTCGCAAAGACAACCAAACTAACACTCAGTGCAAAGAGTATTCGCTCCTCTTTACATTAGGAATCACTTCTAACCCCCTGTGTACAGTATCTCTACTAGTTTGTAAGCTCTTGAGGGGCAGGATTGTGCCTTCTTCAGCTTCATACCCATAGCACCAGTCCAGTGCCTTGCACACAGTGGGCATGGAGGCAAATTTTCTGAATGAATGAATAAATGAATTAATGAGTATCTTTAAAAGTATCATATTGGATGGGTAGCTTATTCAAGGAGGTGTATTTCTTATTTCTGTATAGCTCCTTATATATTATACTTGGATAGTTTAAGATTCTGAATAAAACCACCTTTAAATTCACATTTCAAAATTGAAATGGATGTTATCTAAAAATGTTATTAATTTGAGCATAGAATTAAATGTGTTTTCAAGTAATGTATAAATGCTACTAGAAACTAATGATGCAGATTTGGCTACTTTTAAATTTTTCACATTTGAATTAATGTATTAAGTATCCCATCTGTAAAGTTTACCAATAGTTGTGATATCCATAGGAGGTTTTTAATTGCTCTTTTGAAGATGAAATGTGAACAAGAAATGAGGGCTGATTAGAAACTGAATGGACCTCTGTCCACAGAAAGACAGTAACCCACACACAGCATTGCTGCTCTCACATGGCTGCTTGTTCCACGCTGACCTCTGGGAACGGGGAGCCTCCTCCAGACATCTCACAAGCGCCTTGGGAAGCTAACATCCCTTCCCAACTTGGGAAAATCTGGAAGAGGCGTAGTCCTCCAACTGTCACTTCTCAGTTTGAAGGAATGCACTTGCCTTTGTCCCCAGCCAACATGTGAGGAAGTCTTTGGGCTCCTACAGCATAGGTGGTGAAGACAGAAATAGCAGAGGGCAGTGGACACTAGTGGAAATGTGACCCAAACTCATGTCTCTGATCAAATGCGTTCTTTCAAGAAAGCGCCCATGACTGAAGCGCCCAAATCCCTCTCCTCTCTTGATTTTTCTCCTCAAAGTTCTCCCTCTCCCTCCAGCCCCTACAGGAACCACGCGTGTCTCCTCTCTTAGGCCCCCAGGGCCAAGTTAAAGAGAGTTTTTAATCATATGATTTGGACCCAAATAAACCCATGTTTATGGTTTCAAATATATGTGCCAAAATCATACTAATATTATTGGAAACAAAGATATCTCATTCTTCCAGAGCAAACCCCATTAAGCCAATTTCATTTTAATATTCAGTGTTTCATAAAGTGCAAGTAAACTGTTTCCAAAATTTTCAGCACTAATATTTTTGTACTTTGCCAAAATGATTTTTATTGGAATAAACTCTCTTCCTTCTGAATTCTGAAGTAAAAATTCAATTTATCAATGAGCTTTCATACATAACAAGTTTTACCAATCTTCCTTCCCCCACTGTGAAAATGCCTTCTGTTTTATGTCTGAGTCCAATTTTTCTGGGTCAGTTTTTTCCAGATGTAAATGTTGACCAGAGTCCTTTTACTTTTCCATCAAATTTTAGTTACCTATAAAATTTTACCAATGCAAAGTCTTATTTATTCTGACTCAGTATTTACTGAATTCAGAGTTTCTAAATTAAATGTGATTTTTTAAAAATCTAGAGCATAGTGCTGTTTGGTTTTAGCCACTTTCAGTTTTATTCTGTTTTGATTATTTCTAACAGTCTGCACACTCGGTTTTTGCATTTGTAAAATGGGGGTGATCATAATAGTGTCCCCCTCTTAGAATTATTATAGAGAATAAGTGGGCTGATACAGACAAGTACTTAGCACAGTGCCCAACACAGAATAACAAGTTATTCAAGTTCAAATTCCTAATACAAGAGGCCTTTTATGATTTGCTGTTCTCTCCCCCACAGCCTCTCTAGATGCTTTGCCTTTCAGGTCCTCTCTGTTCTAGCCCGTTTCACATTGTTTTATTCCTATACGCCTTCACACAGACTGGTCCTTCCACTCAGAATTCTCTCCCTCCTTCCTCTACCCCTCACCCCCATTCAGCCCTCGCTCTAGCTAATCCCTCCTCTTCCTTCAAAATGCTCCTAAACTCTCCTTTCATCTTAAAGACTTTTTGGCCTGCCCCTTTGCCCCTCTCTGCTTTCATCCCATCTTGAAGACATTACCGATCTCTTTTCCAATGTCTTCAATCTATAAGTGCCCAGTAAAATTTAGTCGCCTGAGTGTGCTTAAACATCCCTTCACTACTGAAGTGTTTTCATATCCCACCAATGTCCTTGCCTTCTTTCCTTTTCTCCCAGCCACTCCCTGAGTATGCCCATCACTCTCAATTAGAATTCACTTCATTGTACACTCTTCAAACATTACTGTGTCCCAAAGGATGGCAGGGGGGAACATATACCATTTTAAGCCTGCAACCCCATTGCAAAAACAGGGGAATGTTCAGATTTAGTCATTCCTCTCTGTAAAGCCTTTTAGTAGCATCCTCTAAACTTTATATGAAAGCTGAACATGTCCTATGTGCTCTGGCCTCTGCCTACCTCTCCAGCCCTATTTCATGTCACTTGTCCCTTTGTTCCCAGCAGTTTGGCCACACAGATTCCTCCATCCTCAGCTGCATCAAGCTCCCTAGTCTTTGCCCACATTGTTCCCTCTTCTTGAGGCCCTATCCCACCCCCACACTCCCCTTACCTGGATGAGACGTATTCTTAAATGTGACTCAGGCTAAGCTAGCACGACTGACTAGCACTAACTCGTAAACCTCAGAGAACCTGGGCCCATGGCCCAGGAAAAAACACTGTGACCTTTAGATATCATTCCATGTCTGTCCAAGTCTCAGTTTCTCCACTTGTTAAATGGGGATATAATACTCGTCAAACCTATAACACTGCATTATTAAGATAACCAGTGTGGCAGGAAAACCTTTATAAATAGGAAACATATCATCTTAAAGGCTTAAGTTGCAAAATACCTTTTGGAAGGTAACTTTTTACAATATTGAGAACCACAAAACTGTTCATATCCCTTGACCTAGACATCCCACTCCCAGAATATATCCTATTAAGAGGGGTTTCCACCCCTCTTCAGTCTTCCACCACCCTATCAGTCCACCCAGAATGTTCCCATGGATAGCACATTCCTAGATTAGAAGCTGAAGCTTACTTGAGTTAGGATGTAGATTATGTACAATTCCCATTTCTTTGCCATTTAAGAAGACACATCCCAGTGAAGGATGCTGCTCTAGGAGTTGTTTGGATTAAGTTAATAATTCACCAAATGCAGCAGATCACTGATTAATAAATTGTTTGCAAGTTCTGCAACCCACCAAGACACAGCAGTGTCTTGGCATTCAAGTTAAAAACTGCCATCCTTATGAAATAACAAAAGAATTTTACAAATGACTATACATATGAGTTGGCCAGTAATGATAGTAATATCACTGCCTCCTCACAAAGGTCCTGTGAAGTGGACAGAAGGGATTTATACTTTCTGATCTCTCGTGGAGCCATGGTTTTATAGCCACACTAAGTAAATTGACAGGCAGCAGGACACGGTAGACGGAGCACTGCTCGGGGGTCATGTAAGCCTGAGCCGCTGACATTTTCTGGCTGTGATACTTTGGGCATGTCATTTCAACTCCCTTAGTCCCTCTCTACTCAAACTGGTTCTAGAGTTGCTGCATGGTTCAGCTAGGGTATTGGACATCAATACATTGTGAGATGTAAACACTGTTCAAAGGTGACCTGTCTCACAGTGTGCTTACTCTGTCCCTGAGTTGGGACCAATATTTCAGGTCCAAAAAGTGGGCTTTCCTTTAGCCTTAGATTAAGCAACACTCTAGGATTCCTAGTTGGTCTTCATAGTAGCATACGTAAGATAAAGGATAAACTACAATCATAGCAAGGCAAAATAAATATTTATTAGAAATCATGAAAGCATTTCTTCAATGGCACTAAAATCTTCTTACTCTATGACTTCTTAATTAAACACAGAGTTTCACACACACACAACACTAAGAACAAGTATGTGAATTAAAATTGACAAGGATCAGGCACATTCAATGAGAACAAGCTGATAATTCTATGTTTGGAACCAAGATCACAGTATAAACATGTAAATCAATGCAAAACTCAAGTATGGCTTACAGGCCAGGAATACGGCCCATCCACCTGGGCCCCGCCCAGAGCAAAAGGACACAGTTAAACCAGGCCTTGAGGAAGGAAAGGAACTTCAATAATACTGGGCTCTCTCAGGCAGGAGCCTTCTAAGAGCTTAATTACTTCACAGTACAATCTCATACACCTTCTACATCCCAGAGAGGAAGGTAAGCAGCATTTTTATTCCAGGTGCATACATCACATAATGTCTAGAATAATAGATTCCTCTTGAGGCAGTTTGGCCAAAGGAAAACTCCCAGCCAAAACCATTATCTGAGCATGGGGGATTCCATCCCTGGAAAAATGCCTATCCCTTAAATTACTGAAATGTAAATTCTGAAGTTTTAATATGTCCTGATATGCCGGTGGATTCGGTGTGATGTGTGTGTGTGTGGTTTGTGCACACCTATGTGCACACTTGAGTTTTAAACCTGTTCTGGGGATCACTGGGACCATGTAGACGGTCAACATGAATCATCTGAGCAAAATCCCTTAGCCCCCTGACGTAATATATGTGGCAACCGCAAAGGCAGGCTTAAATTTACTGAATAACTATGTTGAAACTGTGCTGGGAGAAACCTGTGGCCCAGGAGTCAGAGCACTCTGGCTCCAGCAATTCTGATGTGACTTCCCGCATGGCTGTATGGCTTTAAGCAAGTCCACTTTCTTTTCTGGTCTTTAGTTTCCAGGTATAAAATAAGGGAACTGATTCTTTCAAACCAATGATCTTTGACTCACTGCTTCCTTTCGCCTTGGTAAACCTACCCAGGCTCAGGTGACCTTGGCTGAAAGTCTTTCAGGGATGAATACGGTACAGAAAATGCCCCTGCCAACAAATTCCATCCAGATCCACAGATAACAGCTCTTCAGATGCGTGAGAGGACCAAGATACCACTATTGATTTCCATTCGCCTCACCCCGCAGCCTTTGTTCAAGTGGCAAATGGAGAGCTGTGCAACTTCATCCATTCCTATCCAAATCAAAACAATCCTGGAATTCCCAGATCATGGCACCATGGATCCCAATGGCTGCCCTTCAGACCAGAACATCTGCTCTGGACATACACAAGTAGGGAACTCCAGGCACAGGATGCTGACCTCCAGGCTAAAAGGACCTCACAGTCCATCTGACTGTGATCCTTAACATGCCTAATGAGTTCTGCTTAAACATCTTCAATATCTGGAGCGTTTGCTAGACTGGAGGGAACCAAAATCTTTGTCCTTGAAATTTCCTTTGGCACTGTTTCTGCCCATCTGGAACACAGGTGCTCCTCCCGCCTCCAGGACAACCCTTCTCCCTCAATCATCTGTTTCCAGAGAACATACCTCATCCCTGCTACCCCTGCTCACACCAGAGCACCACAGCTTAGAGCCCTGGTCAGCTTCAGCTGGGAGTACAGGGACTGCAGCAAAGTGTGCAGGTCTCGGGCTCGTCCTAGACCCACCCCTCTTCTCCCAGCCCTGGCTCATCAGGGACACAAAGGCCAAGTGTCCACTCACCCAGGGAAGCTGGCACACAGAGCATCCCAGAGTGGAGAAAAGGGCCCAGAGTGGCTCAGAGTGGCCCAGAGTGCTTGGCTCACACTCCTCAGTTTGCCTCAAGTCAGCTTCACTAGCCAATTGCCAAGTTGTTTAAAAGGCCACATTTATTTTTATGCCCTTTAAAATTCAAACTCGTGGTTAACACCTTGATAATCCCGCCTCCAGAAACTCTCACATGAATCATTTGACCAGGTTCCTAAGGCAGAGCAGATTTTATAGTTGTTTAAGTTCCAGTAATCCGGAAGAAGTCTCCCATCCCCACTTCACCTCTGCCTCAGACTGACTCTGCGTAATTTCAGGGGGAGAAAAATCAGAGGATGAGGCTCTAAAAAGAAGACCTATGTTTTGGCAAACACTCCTTTCTCACACTCCCTCTCTTCAGCCTCAAAATTCACAGTTAACAAAAACATTTAATACCAGAGCATTCTGGGTATTTCGTTAAATTCCTCCAATGAGAAGTACTGATATATAATAGTAACCTCTGAGATTTAAGACCATGGAAACAGAGCAGCTGCTATTTCTATATCAGAAGCCCCGCTCCCAGCTGGGAGGCATGCATGACGGCAGGGCCAGAATGACGACAAGGGCCAAGCTCTTCCACCCAGGTCACAGCAGCCCACACAGGCCCTGCCTGGCACGTCTCATGTGGACTTTTGTGTCTGTAAAGAAAAGCTTTTTGTCCCTGCTCTGGCCACGCTGAGGCCAAGTATATAATACTTATATCCAGCCCCAAATCCCCAAATCTGTTTCTCAGCTTTTAAAATCACATACTTCATCTGAAGTAACTTTCATTCAAAACTGAAATGTTTTTTCTCTATTGAAAATAAAAAATTAACTGTGTTAATTACTCTACTAAAAATGTCTCTTAGTTTGAGACATTTCGAGCCTTGGGATACCAAGGCACTCATTCCAAGGGTAGTTTCCTTTTCCCTGAAGGGTCCAGAAGGGCATTTCCAAAGCTCAGTCCCTTCGACCCTCAGGACGTCCGGCTTAGTTCAGTCCTGTTTGTTCTGGGATGGGATGGGATCAAGAATCGCTTAAATTCAGGAGACCCAGTCACAGTAAGGGAGACAGTGGAAAGTGAGGGCTGGGGCTGGGGGCTGTCGAGGAGATGTTGGCAGGAAGGAAGTTCTGCTCCTCAGGCCTCTGCCCCTTCCCCGCCACCCCTTTCTCCCAGCCAAGCTGTCCTGCAGTTGGTGAGTCCAGGCCTTCGCCCTGGACTTCAAGGACTCCTAGCCATGGGTTTACACAAACCCTTTGCTGAGTAAAAAAAATAAATAATCCAGGGTGTTTCTCATTCAAGCAGACTGACAGGTGCCTCTTAGCTTAGCCACCACTTGGCATGAGATTGCTTTCCATTTCTGGTCATGCAGTGCAAGGCCACATTCTGCTGTAGGCCCTTAGCCCGGAGTCCAGGACCCAGACTGCAGCGTCAGACAGCCCAGGCTCACACCAGCTCTGGATTTTGCTTCTACACCGAAGTTTCCGGAAACTCATCTATTTCATCAAATGCGTTGAGGGTAGTTTTGCTGTTGCTTCTGGAAGAATCTTGGATTTTGCTGAAATCTGCTTTAAAAACAAAACAAAACAAAACGCCAAAATCACTATTTTAGCAAGGTGGTGCTCTGTAATGTGGGATTCCATGTCTAGCACACCACCTCATTCTTTTATCCCCACCTGATTGTTAAAAGTTATTCCTACCAGGGATATAAAATGTCACAGCTGAAAGGGACCTGAGAACCCATTTAATTCAACCTCCTATTTTGCAGATGGGGAAAATCAGGGCCCTCAGACACAGTTTGCCCCTGGTCACATGGTCAGACAGGCATGGTCAGCACACTTTGAGACAGCAACGGTACCTGTCCGTCTCACGGGCCCCGGGTCTTCGTTGAGGAAGGAGACGTGTGTTTTCCATTCAGTCCACTTCACCTCATTGATCCTGCAAGTGTGATGATCATTCTCACTACTTCTCAACTGCGCCTCATTAAATGCAAACAACTAGCATGACATTTGGAGTGTTCTAAACAGCTCCCTTTCTTTCCATCCCAGGGATCTGGGACTCCCACCACACATGGTCATTCAGCAGTTTGGGGGTTTAAAACTCCCCATCTTCCCAGCCCTCAGAGATCAGTCCCGTCCCAGTGTGTGGGGCCCAGAAACTCAGAGAGGTGTCAAGGGGACATTTTCAGACAGCAACGGCTGTGCCTTACTGCCGAGAGGCGGTCCATGGGGAAGGAGGGGGAGAGGGCCGAGGCTGAGGTGACAGTGTGAGGATTAAACTTGTAGAAGTTTAGAAGCTTAAGGTTAAACTAGAGTTAAGGTTGCACTAGGAGAATGCAGTTAGGGTTCAGACCCCAGTAAGAGTGGGCAGAGTCTAAGGTGCTAGATGGCAACAGAGGCAGTGGTTTGGCTGAAGTTCACATTCAGGGAGCAGCTCTAGAATGAGGGTGTGAACATCAGAGATATTCGTCAGGGTAAGCGTTATAGAGCTGGAAACAGTGGTTTCCACAGCGTGGGACTTTCAGTCAGAGAAGCTGGGCATGGTGAGGTATACATGGAAGGCATCCATAAGGTCAGGGAGTCAGCCAGAGGATAAAGTAGACTCATCATCAGAAAAGTTGGTCATGGCACGTGCAGGTACTTTTTAAAAACCAAAAACCTTGATATCTGTCCCAAGTAGCTGTCTCACTCTCCAGTCACCCACGACAAACATGGCTCACGTCCCCTGGTGTTCCATGAACCCACACAGGCTAGAGAAAAGGACAGAGACTGCTGGGTTGGCAAATCTTTCCTGAACAAGAGAGTGGACCGGGAGAGGCCACGGAGGCAGCTGCACGGGCAGAGACGGGAATGGCCACCAGCAGTCTCCTTCCCTCTCCCTGCAGAAACTGGAGAAGCTTTGTCCCAGTGCTAGCAACCACAGAGGAGCAAATTCCATGTTCTAAGGAGGCCAGAACCGACTGTAGGTGTGGTTTGGGAAACAAAGGACAGCACCATTTCTCTGACATTCACTGACTCCTCTCTCTTCAGCCCCCCAAAGACACACACCAAGGGGCCCCTTTCCCTTTGTTACCGCAAACACAGCCGGAAATCTTCCTCTGCTACTTTACATAGCTCTCCCATCCGGAATCTGCTCCTCAGCCATTCTGGTAACATCTTCTCAAACTCCAAAATTGTCCTGGCTCTCTGGGGACATACATGAGCCTAAGCACATCAATGAGAAGCCGGCCCAGGAACACAGCTCTGTATGAGTGTGCAGACACCCCCCCCCTACACACACACCACCAAACAGCCAGCTTCACCTCCAACTGGAAGCTTAATGCACAGATCCGAAGGGTCCATCTAATCTCCAGAATTCAAAAATGAAAAACCAGTAAGTTAGGAAAAGGTATTCAAATTACTTTAAACACAACATAAACACTGTTTCTGGAAGTCCAGGAGCTTCCTAACTGAAAATGTTAGGATCCTGGGATCCCATGGTGAAGAGAGGTGCTGACATCGTGTAATCTTACCTGCATGCCAGGCTTGGAATCCCCTCACCGTTTAACTATCAATAATTTGTCAGATCTCTCTTGAATGGAATCAACAATCCAATTAAGAAGGCCCTAATAGGGGCGCCCGGGTAGCTCAGTGGGTTAAAGCCTCTGCCTTCGGCTCAGGTCATGATCCCAGGATCCTGGGATCGAGTCCCGCATCAGGCTCTCTGCTCAGCGGGAGCCTGCTTCCTCCTGTCTCTGTGCCTGCCTCTCTGCCTACTTGTGATCTCTGTCTGTCAAATAAATAAATAGAATAAAATAAAGAAGGCCCTAATAATTAGAAACTTCCTCGTGACAAAGCAAAGCTTTTCTCCCTGTCATTGCCCAGATACCTCAGTTCTGCCATCTGGGGCCACAGAAGGAAGCTGTCCCTTCACAAGCAGCTCCGCAGCTACCTGAAGAAACTCTTACCTTTTTCAACCCTAGTCCCAATACCATTTCTTGTGAGGCACAGTTTCCAAGTCCTCTCCTAAGCCTGGTAACCTGCTCTGGACCATCCTGTGGGTTACTGTCCTCAGTGTGTAAGACCCCCAGCATGTAAGGAATGTTGCAGCCCGATGGAGGAGTGCAGAATTGTCACCTCCACTGTCCTATGCCGTATAACTCCTCTTAATGCAATCAAAGTTCATATTTCAACATCCACACATCACACCAGACTCTGAGCAGATCATGCCTGTAAGCCTGAGTTTTTCTCACCTGTGCTGCTGTCCAGTCATACTGCCCGTACCCTAGACTAAGATCTCCCCAAACCTGGCCAACCACAGGGAGCTGATGCAGATTCCCAGGCCCCACCCCAGGTCCCTGGTACAGACAGCTGTCCATACAACGTGCTGAATGGAGTCCCCAGGAAGACCCTCATAGCAGGGGTCCTGCCAGGCTCACCTGTAGACGCCAGATGCGCTCACTCTCCTTGGAGACATTCTCCACGGTTTCTCCCATCAGGGCGATGAGCATGTTGAGAAGGAGGACGAAGGTGAGGATGACGTAAGTGATAAGCAGGAACAGAAAGAGGATGGGGTACTTGGAGTTCTGCTGTATGTTCAGGTCACCCAAACCAATGGTGAGCTTGAAGAGTTCCAGAACGGCATCACTGAAGCTGCCGTAGGAGCTGCAGTCCTTATTGTCACTGGGACACTTCTCAATCAGCGAGGCCAGGGCTGGGAGGACAGAAGAGGGTGTTCTCCTCTGGTGCTCTGGCTGCTTAATTACCCAACAAGCTCCTGCACACTTGCATGTACACACACGCCCCTCCCCCACACACCCTGCAGGCCTACAGCCTCAGCCTCTGCTTATTTAAATTTCACCTCCCGCCTCCCTCAGCTCCTAGAAGCTTCCTTAGGCTGCTTCTCTCGCCATGACCTCCTGTAAAAAACTCTTCCTGCCTAACAAAGCCCACACTCTTCTCTCCTTCCTCTACTCTGCCATTCAGCCCTTGATCACTCCCAGCCTTGCAGAGCTGTGATCTATAATCTCTGTGTGTCCCGCTTTGGGCTCCCAGCTTCCTGTGGCCTGGGTCATCTCCTCCAAGACTGTAAAGTCCTGAGTCTCTTCCTCACGCTCTGTAGAGAGATCCCCTGGCCAAGAAGACTGGGGCCTCTTTCTTCTCTTCTTTCCAACACACCATAGACAGGTGGATGGATGGATGGATGGTCAAATTAATGAGTGAGTAAATGCATGGATGAATAAACAGGCAAGTGAAGGAGCAAATAAATAAACAAATTGTGGCCCAGCAAAGGTACCAGAAGATGTGAATGTCTGCCTAATTTCAAATGCCAATGATCATGGCTGAGGATGAGGGGTGGGGTAGGGGGATGGAGGAGATGGGAAAATTCAATGATACCTCTTTATGCAGAAGCTAGAAATAAAATCAGGTTGTACAAATGAAGAGACTTTAAGAGGGGGCTCCCCATCCCCAGTCCCCAGGAGAGCAGAGGCCCTCACAGATATACCTGAACCAAACCGTAAGTAACATGATGTGGGGAGCCAAAGGAGCTTACTTCGATGCATTAATTTACTCCTATTTTTCAAAGACCATCAGTCACATTGCTGCAGACTCTACCTTCCGTGTCTGTAAAATGGGGCCAACACCACCTATCAATCCTCTTTCAGGTTGTGGGGGCCACGTAAGATGCTGGATGCGAATGCGGGAGGCACACCCCACAGTGTGGATGACAGGTCTGATTCTAAGCCTCAGTTACCTTACGACCAGGGACGATGACTCCCCCTTGGTCAAGATATTGAGAGAAATAAAAAGACAATGCCTGGAAAATGCTAAGCACGGCCAGTGCTCCGCTGGTAGGTGACATGACTTGCTGAGGCTGCTGGGGATGCTGTCATTTGACATCTGTATAAAGTGCTTTACGAATGTGGCAGTTCCTATTATCTATAAATAAATTACCTACTCCAAATCCAAGTAAGAACACGATATATACAAACAAGAACTTCAGAACATCATGCAAAATGACCTATAAAAGGAGAAACATGATTTAAGGGTAAGATTTGAGTATATATTCACTAGACCCTGATCTTATTGTTTCCCACCCTCCTCCAACCCCCGCCCTGACCACGCCTTCTCCCAGACCATTCTCCCTTCCCCTAGCAAACCCTTCTGATGCCCCAAAGCTCTGTTCTGGGTCCCATCTCCTCCAAGAAGCCTTCCCTTCCGTTCCTGCTCTCCTCCCTCCCCCTTCTGGCACATAGTCTGTGCCTGTCCCCGGTGATTCATTCTGTACGTGAGCACTTCTTTTCATAGTGTCTCGTGTCAGAAACCTCACGCTTCCTGGGGGCAGTGGTGTGCTGGGGTCTGATGTCAGCTCATTAGAGCTGACGGTTACATTCTTATCAATTTTGTAACCTGGCTGTTAAACAGAACCATTATGAAAAATTAAATCACGTAAACTTATAATTAAAGTAAATTATAGTAAAAACAAAGATAATATTCAAAACTCATCACTCACTTTACAATTATCTACGTGACTAAGGGTATTTACGTCACTGGCAGCCATACTGTGTACCTACTATATCTTGCATTACTAAGCATCGCTTTCTGACTCTGTGTTTGACTCCATCATCCTGGCAGCTGGAAATCAGCCGTGCTAGGATTTACACTATGGGAATCAGTGAGTGGGACAAATCACAGACTCATGATTTTGCTGACTGTCTAGACCTAGATTTGTCTAGATCTAGATTTAAGACGGCAATAGAGATGATGGTAAGGCAGATTAAAATTTAAAATGTGTCCTATCTGTAGCTGTTGTGTCATGAATAAGACAGTAACATTCATGAAGTAGTCTTCCAATATTTGAGAACTATTATTCAAATCAGCGAGTAAGTAGTTCGCATCACTGACAAGCAAGGGAAGTTCTCATAAGGCTGCGCTGTTTCACTTTCGTCTTACTCCTTCAAGAAAACATCAACCGATATTGACATATCTGTCACTTGCAACCATAAATGGGCAGCAGATACAGGAGTCCAAGAAAAATCAACAAATGCTTCTGGCTATGTGGAATTTAAATAAAGGCCATTATATAGTTCATTATTTGTAAATATCCTTGTGGCAATAAACTTGTTAAAGACTTACCAGCACACCACAGCCTGGGGGTGAGATCATTCCTTCCCAGGGCCCAACAAGCCCGGGTGTTTCAAGGTCTAGACTCTTAAAGCCTGGCCACAAGCAAAGGGAGACAGTGGTGTTTGGGAGGGAGAGAAGCAGGCTTCTCTTCCAACCTGCTTCCCCATTGGAAAAATGGACATTCTCTGAGGACTTCCCATCTCCCCAGCACAGATGCCTGTGTGTCTGTGATGCTCACGAGCCCCCAACGCACCTTCTGGATCATGACGCTGTACATGCCCATGGACTGGAATCCCCGTGTGTAGTAGAGCATGTTTGCCCAGCCCAAGGCCATGGCCAGCACGAGGCAGGCGAGGTACTCTTTGTAGGCAAACAAGTACAAGAAGACAGACAGTATCACAAGCACAGCTTGGACAAAACTGTTCAGGAGACACAGGAGACAAGGGCCTTACTTACTTCTCAGCATCCAGGGAGACATTCCAACCCCAATCTCCCCTCCACCCCCAAAATGGCACCCTGAAGGGTAACGTGGAAGAGACGGGTAAGGTTGACCCAGACCCTCTCTACTCGAACATCCAGCCTTGCGGATGGCATCAGCAGACGTGTGTCAGAGCCGACAGCAGGTGGCCTGCAGCTGGCAGGGACTTTTTAAAAGTACAGATCCTGAGGACTCAAGGAGATTCTGGTTCAGAAGCCCATATATCTTAACTGACACATGTGATTTCTGATGCCCACATAGATCAGGGAGCCGCTGGAGTAGACTAAGGGAGGTAAGTGAGTGATTGCGTTTTTAACAAAAATGATGAAAGCTAACAACGTCTATACTTAAAAGCCAATCATAACAAAAGTCTTTTAACAACTATAATATGTGCTAAATGATAGCTCTCTTGAACATATTGGTTGAAGAACAATATGAATGTACTTAACACCATTGAACTGTACGCTTAAAATGGTTAAGATGGCAACTTTTAGGTTATATATATTTTAAAGTACAACATATAACAAACACACAGGACCAGCATCAACTCCTAAACATCACTACATCATCAGTGATGCAGACATCTAGATAAAAAGCTCCATTGCTTAGAACATCAGACGGTCTCCATGATTATAAAATATCCAATGAGTTAAAGTTAGGACACAGGCAACCTTGCTTTTCATGTGCAATGAAAAGCAAATGATTGGGCGATCGATGCATTCTAGACTGAAGTGAGGAAGCATGATGTATCCCTCATTAACAAAACACCTAAGAAGCTGAAAAGCAGGGCAATGCATTGGTGCCTTTTGTCTGCACTAAAGCCAGTGGCTGGATAAACAAACGCTTCACTGGAATTCTCATATTTTCTCAAAGGTGGAAGACTCCCATGAGGGAGATATCATGGGGTCCATCTACTCACTGCAGTATCTGGGCACCCCACTTGCCCACAGGGATGAAGAATTCCATTTATGCCTCTAGAAGGCAGGTGCATACATAATAAACACCCAGGTATTTGGAAACATTGGGCCAAGATTTAAGGTCCTATAGAACCAGCTTCCCAAATACTCTGAGGCAGGACTTTGGTGAGATCTGCAGAGCCGAAGAGCCCAACGTACTTCGTTCCACACTGCAAGTCCTATTTCCTTTGCATGGCAGCAATGTTGAATCAGCCTCTGTTCCTTGAGAGACAGGTGTCCCATAAGCCTCTGATGTCAACTCGTGACCTCATTCAGAGAGGCTGCTGAGCTGGGCTTCCTGGCCCTATGGTAGCCACCCCTGCTCTAGCATAAGGTGAAGATGATGGGGTGGCTGGGGCTGGCTTTGACACCACCGAGGCTTGGTGTGACCTTGAGTAACTCATTTCCCTGCTCTGGGCTTTGGTTTTTGTGCCTATGGATGAGACTTGATGACTTCTCTAGTGCTTTTCAGCCCCGATCTGCCAGAGTCCAAGATGGCAACCTCTAGACCCCACAAAACTAGGAGGAACTGGCCCAGACCATCTCTTCCTGAAGAAGTAAACCACTACTAAGCCTCTTCCTGCCTTCTCTGCCACACCTGCCAGGGTGGAGACAGTCATCACTGCAACCTGATGGTGGGCACTGTGCTAGGCTCTTCTGGTGCTCTCCATGGGTGTCCATGGGCTTCTCTCACTAGAAGGGAGAGGAGGTCCCTGGCCACGAGACTACGGCCAAATGACTGGGACATGGTGACATGGGAGGGTGGTTCCAGAGGACACAGCGGCCACCATACAGGACTTTGGCCCTGCCTGTGCAGTGGTGACCAAATGGGACAGACCTACTTACAAGACAAAGTGAAACCAGGCATCAGAGAGAATGGACTGCAGATCTGAGGGTCTCAGCAGGAAGATCGCGATGCCCTGAGGCCAAAAAGGAAAGAAAAGCTGCACCCCCTGCATGCCTCTCACTGGAGGATCTGAGGAAGGCAGTGTTTCCTCAGGACTGAGACTCGGTGAGGGGGAGGGCATGAAGGCCAAGCCAGAGCCCAGGTGAGAAATACAGAAGGGGACCTATGCCCGGGAGCAGAGGCATCCCAGGGTAGGAGTGGCTGCACCCCCAAATCCTCTCACATCTCTCACTCCCCCCGCCTTATCCTCACCCAGACCCTGCAAAGCAGCACAGTCACACAATTCCCTGCCATTCCCCAGACACAGCCTAGCTTCTAAAGCCAAAAACAAGAAGCAACAGGTATTGGTGAGGATGTGGGGAAAAAAGAACCCTCTTGCACTATTGGTGGGAGTGCAAACTGGTGCAGCCACTGTGGAAAACAGTGTGGAGTTTCCTCAAAAAGTTAAAACCAGAAATATCATATGATCCAGTAATCGCACTACTGGGTATCTACCCAAACAATACAAAAACACAAAATCAAAAAGATACATGCACTCTTATATTTATTGAAGCATTATTTATAATAGCCAAACTATGGAAGCAGCCCAAGTGTCCCCTGATAGATGAACGAATAAGGAAGATGGGACATATATACAATGTAATACTACTCAGCCATAAAAAAGAATGAAATTTTGCCATTTTCAATGACATGGGTGGGGCTAGAGAGCATTATGCTAAGTGATATAAGTTAGAGAAAAACAAATGTCATATGATTTCACTTACATGTGAAATTTAAGAAACGAAACAAATGAGCAAAGTGAAAAAATAGAGACAAAGCAAGAAACAGACTCTTAACTATGGAGAACAAACTGATGGTGGCCAGAGGGGAGGAGGGTGGGGTCTGGGGGAAACTAGGTCAAGGGGATTATGAGTACACCTGTGATGAGTACTGAGTCTTGTACAGAACTGCTGAATCACTATATTGTACAAAGGAAACTAATGTAACACTGTAAGTTAACTACACTAGAATTAAAATTAAAATTTTAATTAAAAGAAAAGAAAAAAAGATATGGATTAGCTCTCCTGCCTCTGAGCCTTTTAATGCTATTCCCCCTGCCCACTCTGTAATGACCTTCTCTCCAATGCCCTCATGCCAAATCCCGCCCTTGCAGACTAAATACCAACTCTGCTTTCATGCCTTCCCTCCCTGTCCTGTCCCCAGATAAAAGTCATCTCTCTTCCTCTGAGTGCTGGTCTGAACCCCACACAGGGCCCTTTACATCATCCATTTTAGGATCCAGATGTTTGTGCCTATCTGAAATCCCCCACAAGACTGTGAGTTTAAAGAGGACAAACTCCCTCTCTCCCTCTCACCTCCCCCAGGGCTCCACATATAGAAGGTGTTCAAAATATACCTGTTGATTCATTGGTGGATGGTTGACAAGGGACTGATTGATAAACCCAGACGAAGGGCTGGGTCAGTGAGAGAAGTGACTGAATGTGTGGATGGACGGACAGGAGGACGGGTCACTGAGTGGCTGGGAGGGTAGATGGCTGATAGAGGGATAGAAGGGTGGATAGATAAAGTAGGTGGGACAGGCCTGCCTAAGAAACTAATTTTGGATCTACAAAATCTAAAGCTTAGAAAGGAAGTACTCCCCAGAAGCCCCCTCTCCATAGTCAGGCAGAGCAGGGTGGATCAAAGCCAGGCCTGTGGTCACTCTGCCTGCCTTGTAAAGGGCTTAGTGAGCCACTCACCTCTTTCACAGAAATGCACATGGCCCAGATGAGCACGAACATCCTTCCTAACAGCTGCAGCCACCCCATCTTGTGCGTCAGGGCCAAGGGGTGTGGGAGGGCCTGGGAAGAAGGGAAGGAATGGATGGGAGCAAGACGGGGAATGAGGAAGGCCCCTCTGGGTGTAGGGTTCACACACACGTGCCAAGACCACTAGTTGAGCTGGAGGCCAAAGTGAAGCCCAAGCTCGGTACAATGGGAGAGAAAGAACGGCAGCTCTGTGCCCCTGTCCCCACCCACAGTGGGACCCAGAACTCTACAGTCCAATCCATGCTAACGACCCCTCACACCTCATGGCATTTGTTCGCTCCAGAACCCATTCATATCCAGACACTTAGAGGACACTCGAAGCTAAAACTCTGCCCCATGTAATGAATGGGAAATTGAGGCCCAGAGTGGGGGAATCCCCCCTCCCATTTCTGCGACCCTCATGGCAGAAACACCCAATTAGCTCTAGATTTAGGTGGAGCCTGGGTCTTCCAACCCTCCAGATTTCCCCCAATTGCTGAGGACCAGAGACGTATTCAATTCCCTAGAAGCTGTGCAGGATGACAACTGGGGAACACCGTGCAAATGTCTTGGTCATTCTGGGTCTCACTTTCCTCATATGCACATGGGACTCTCCAAGCTCTTGGAGCTCTGACCACCCCACCCGCCTCCCTCCAGGGGCCCACGTACCTCCTCTTCCCGGGGGCGGTAATAGGAGACTAGAGTCAGAGTGATGTTGTAGAAGAAATAAAAGCAGAATGACAAGAAGAACATGTACTTGGCAAACTTCTTCCACTTCATATGCAGCAGCGTGTGCAAGGGCTCCAGGGTCAGCATCTCATGCCGGTTCTGGGGGTAGAACACCACCACTTTCAAAGGGCCCTCATTCCAAAGGGAGCTCTGAGTCAGCACCACCCCTGCAAGAAGGGGCCAATCGTTCTGTCCCATAGGCTGGTTTGGCTGGAAATGTGGGGAGAGTAATTTCTGGCTCCTGTAGCTCCTTCCCAGTGCCCCCAGGCAGCAGCCAAACCCCATAGGAGCTGGGCTTCCAGTGGGAGGACCCAGTGCTTAGTGGGGAGCAAGAGCAAGGGGGAAGGGCCGTGACTGAAACCAACTTGGCCCCTTCACTGTGTAACCTTGGGAAAACCCCCAATACTCCCAGGGCCTCGATTTCCTCATCTATAAAACTGAAATCAACCAAACTGCCCTACCAACCAGCAGGTTGTGAGGGTTCAGGGAGACCCCAGACAAGGCAGGCTCCAGTAAGCATGGCTCTTGGTAACATGGGGATCATGAAGGTCTAATCTGCTGCCTCAATTCCCCCCCCAAAAGCTGAAAACCTCTCACTGCTGATCCTCTCACTTCCCCTCCAGCTTCAGTGATCTTCGCCCCAGCCCTTGCCTCCTCCAGGAAGGCCTCCCTGATTGCTGCAGCTGTGCCTTCTCTGTGGGTAGGGGAGATTATAGAACCATCAGGGAAGAGAAGGAGAAACAAGATGGCGAGGATCAACACCAATCATCCCACCCGCCGTCTCATACTGCCCAGGATTCTGGGGCCAGGAGACACCCACCACAGAAGTTTATAACGCAAGGTTAGTTAGGATTAAGTAAACACAGCACCGGCCCTAGCCCTGCCCTTTCTGTGTTGACTCTCCCCACCGAGGTAAAGAACTGGAGGACTACAGACATGTCCAGCTAGTGCCATAGGTCTTCCCATTGCAGCCTGAGGCCCAGCCCCTCGTCCCCAGCCCTCCCCCAGCCCCCCTGAGAGACCCACATCAAGGTTGGTGTTGTAGACGATGATTTCCAGCACCGAGTTGTCTGTCGTAGTGTCCACGTTGGTGAGGTCGTAGAGTGAGGACGACACAGGCCCGTATGCCCAGTCTGTGAACTTCCTGGACAGACTCCGGAGTGGCTTTTCCTTGATCTCACGACTGAGGATATACTTCAAGATCTGGGGACAGAAAGAGGAACAGCCATTGAACAGGGCTGGGAAGATGTTCCCACCTGGATGGATTGAGCCCCTTCTGCACCTGCCACCGTAAGCCCCGAGCTCGGCTTCCACTGCAGAACCCGTGTGAACCTCACTGCTCTGCCTAGTTCGCCAGGGACTGAGAATACAAGGGACAAAAGGTGCGGAGGCCCTTTGCAAGGTGCAGAAAGCTGCACAGTAAGATCATAAAACCTTGTACCAGTTGGGGACTCCATTCGGTGAAGCATCTGAGAACTGACAATTTTGAGAAATAATTTCTATTTGACCTGGATGGGAGAAGAAATTAGAAGTTTTTCCAGCTTCCCTAGCCTACCCTCAGTCAAGACCGTTCCAGCTGAGGGTCACTGTGGGCCATACAAGTTGCCAGCCTGGCAGAGAGGCCTGAGAAATCCACTCTCCAGGTGACCCTCAAACTCTGGTGCACAGTAGAGTCACTTAGGGACACTCAACAATCCCATACCACTGACTAATTCAGTCCAAAGCTCTGCAGGTGGGACCCAGATATCTATGTTTTGTAAAGCTCCATGGGCAGTTCCAAAGTACAAGCAAGGTGGAGAGCCACTGCTCTCCAGTTCACTCCTTTCTAGAACTGGGGCCGGAGCTTCCTGGGGCACCAAACCAAGACCCAGGAAGAGGGTTCTGTTGGGGAGAACAGTATCAGAGCCCTGGTTTCACACCACCCAGTGGGGTTCCCATCTCATCTCATATGGGAGACTTGTCCTCACAGTCCAGGCAGAGAACCTCCAGATTGACTCCAGGGCCAGTCTCCCCATCCTGGGCCCCAGCCTCAAAGAGCCCCAAGGAACAGGGTCTGTGTCTAAGCATCTCTGCACCCTCCACTCCCAGCATAGTGGCCAACTTGGGCAGCATCCAGAAAGGTTTTCCAAAGAACACTGAATGAAGAAGAGAGAGGGCCAGGAATGGGGGAGTCCCCTCCCCAGGACTGGCCACGGGGGAGCATATTATCCTCTAGAGAGTCAAAAGGTCATGGGGCCATGCTCCAAGCACCACAGCACATGCCACAGCAGCTATCAGGAAGCTCCACTTGCAACCCTAATCTGACTCTCTTCAAAGTCCCCCACAAACTGTGTTCCTGGGGGAGGGTAGGAGACGGTAGGGAGGGTGGGAAGGCATACAATTTCTCCTTTGTCAAAGCCAATCTCCAACCCTTCCTTCCCCCACAAGAGAATGAAAAGGTCCCTTGTGGGCCCCAGCCCTGACCACTGACACTGGGCCCAAGGCCCTCAAGGCCCCCGCCTCCCCTGTCAGCTGCCCTGAGGAGGGCACAGCTATGATTGTTCAATAGCCCCCTGCACCCACCCAGTCCTCTCACAGCCTCCCAGGAAACTCAGTCCACTCTTAGGGCTTGGACACATGGAGGCTGAAGAGCAAGCTGCTCTGGGCCTTGCCCTCGGGCCCACCTGAGTCCTGACCTAGATCTCAGACCGAGCTGTGTCTCCAGGCACCCACAGTGATGGGAGCCCGCCTCAACCCAAGTCTTCACCAAGGTTAAGCCTTGAGATCCTCAGCCACTCCACACAGGGCACAAAGGGCCACAAAAAACCACACTTTCTGCTGGGGACCTGGCTCAGAGTTTCAACATGACAGACAGAGAGAAGTCTCTCCAGACTCAGGCCGCTCACTGGCTCTGGATGCAGAGCCGGCATTCTGGGACTCCTAGCCTCCTGAGAGGCTGAAGGCCCTAAGGGTCTTCAGACATAGCTTTGGCTTGTGTGCCTGCCTCACCACACAGGAATCCTCAGCCACAAAGCCTGTGAGGTCCCACGTCACCACAGCCTTCAAGTTCCTCCACTCTGACCCCAGATGGGAGTCCCAGAGCAGGGCATAGAAACACAGAGTGTCAGGGACTAAAGTCCAGAGGGGGCTTCCATGTGCCATATTTCTGTGTGGTCACTCAGAACAAACCCACCCCATGCCACAAATGTACTTCCTAGACTTCAGGCTGACCTTTCCCAGGCCAAGGTACAATCTGTGGGGTCCCCAGAAAGGCCAAAGCACTGGCCAGGAGCCTCCCTGCCCTCCTTCCTGCCCCCCCCCCAGGCCCCACCTCAGCCTTGCCCATCTTGGCAGCCAGCTGCAGTGGCGTGAGCCCATCCTTGTTGTGCATGGTCTCCAGCTCCCACGTCCCGCTCCTTAGCAGGATCATGTCGTACATGCGCTTCACAAAGTCGTTCTGTGTCTTGAAGTCCTCAGCCACTGTCACCAATGCGTGTAGGATGTTGTTTCCCCGTGAGTCCTGCGAGGTTATGTCAGTCTGCTCATTCTCCATCAGCAGCTGCACAATCTCAGGCTGGTTGGTACACGCCGCCAGAGCCAGTGGGGTCTCGCCTGGGGCAGTAGGGAGCACTGGACCTCAGTTCTCTTCTAGACCTGCCCAGTTTCCGCAAGCCCTAGGACTGAGGCCCATGTCCTCAGTAGGACTGACACCCGAGCTTCCCTGTAATTCCCCCCACCTTCTGCCTTGTACGGGGAGAGCGGGGAGACCAAAGCTGGATCACTGCCATTACCTCCTAACTGATCTCCCTACTTCTATCCCAGGCCTCCATCACTATCCCCAGCATAGCAGCCAGACTGATCCTAGTGACACAAAAGACTCACCTCGCCCAGAATAAAAGCCCAGGTTCCAGCAAAAGCCCACAGGCCCTGCATGTTCAGACATCACCTCCTCTCTTATCCCCCTCACTCCTCTCCGGCCACAGTGGCCTTCTTCCTTTTCCTAGAACATGCCAAGGCATTTTTTCCTACCTCAGGGCCTTTGCACAGGCTGTTCCCCCTCGCTTGTAGTACTGTTTCTCAGCATCTGCCTTGGGCATCTCCACACTTCTACCAAGTCTTCACTCAAACATCACCTTTTTAATGAGTCACCCTAACTGCACTATTTAAAATTGAAATCCACTTCCCTGCCCTGGAACTCCTGACCCCCTTTCCCTGCCTTGATTTTTATATTTTCATAGCACTTACCATTTTCTAAGATATTACACAGTGTTATTTATTATGTTTATTATTGATCATTTTCCTCCAGTCTAGAACATAAGTTCCATGAGGATAGGAATCTTTGTTTCATTTATTGATACATTTCAAACACCTAGAACGGTGCCTGGTGTGTATAGTAAGTGATCAATAAATGTTTTTTAAGAAAAGAGAAGGCAGGTGACTCATACATGGTCACACAGCAAGCCTGGGATGGAACTAGGACTGGACAGGAGGTCTCCAACTGTTTCCCTTTCAATCTCCCTTCTGTTCCCTCTCTTCATCCCACCTGACAGACATTTCCCAACACTGGTTCCAACAGGGTCTAATGTTGGACAATGGACTGTACAAGACCCTGTCCTCATGGCTGCTCAGACCCAGCTAGTCCTACAGATAAAAACCAACCAAACAAACAAAAAACCACCCAGAAGAGAAAACAGGTCAGTGGTTGCAGCCAAGGGCTGGAGTGGGAAAAGGGGTTGACAAATTTGTGGGGGCAAAGTTTCTGGTGTTATGGGACTATTTATACCCTGCCCTCATGGTGGTGGTTAGTCAACTGTATACATTTGTGGGGCTGAACAGAACTATCCATTAAAACGGGTGAATTTCACTATATCTAAATTAGGCATTACAATCTTTTTTTCTACCCAGAGTATCCTAACCCCAATTCCTTTTGAACTCCCTAATTTGTCAGTCAGGGAATCTTCCTCTCTGACTCTTGACTGCGTGTTTGCAGTCCTGGAAAGCATTGAGCGCGGGGACAGAGGCGAAGTTGAGTCTGCTCACGTGGATGCCCACTCGCGCCCCTTCCCCCAGTTCAGAAGGCTCTATCCCAGCGGCCTCCCCGGGCACTGTCCCTCTGGGCCTGGGGCGGGTCCACATGTCCACGTGCCGAGCGGGCAGGAACCGGCAGTGGGGGCTCCAGGCCAGCCCGCTAGCGCCTACTGGGACGGGGGCGGGTCGGGAAGGCCGGACGGTGGGGGGGCAGCACCCACCAAAGTAGAAGCCCTCGTGCAGGTACTTGGGGTTGAAGAAGACTCCCCTGGCGTGGGCGTTGACGTCGGCGCCCGCCGCAATGAGCAGCGCGGTGATGTCTCCCTGCCGCCGCTCGATGGCGATGTTCAGTGCAGTCTGCCCTGCGACCCGAGTGGGGAGGGAGGAAGGGGGGCGCTCAGTGGCTGGGCCCTGGGGGACAGACCCTCCCTGGCCCCCGAACTCCCTGCCGAGCCACAGCAAAATACTAGCTGCCTTCCTGCTCCAGGCTGCGGTGAGACTTCAGTGCTACCATACTGGGAGTCGCAAGGGCTGGGGGACTTGGGCGGGGCCGGGCGGGTGGGGGGCAATCGAGACTGCATAAGCCAGGTTAGAACTTTATCCTAAGTGCTGTGGGAAGTCACAAGTCATTGAAGCAGGCAAGGGACACGACCAGAGTTTTGAGTTTTGCACATGTGTATTTTCGGATCACTCTGGATGCAAAATTGGAGGATGCATTAGAAGGAGCCCAGACTTGGCAGGAACCGCCACTTCAGTGGAGAAAGAGATGATGAGGGCCAGAGACCCATGGGAGAAAGTCCTCAGAATGGCCTGTGGGGGCTGGGAAAGAAGGGATCTGGGAGAGTGGTGCCACAATGACTGAGGAACAGAACCGGAGAAAGCAGCAGGAAGGGGCTGAAGGGACATTAACCCAGCTGGTGGAGTCTGTGGACTCTCCAGATGGAAGGCTCTGAAAGGCTGGGGGAGGGGATAGCTCTAGGAATGTCCCACCAGAAACAGCATTTTCCAAAGAGCTGCCACCATTCCATATACAAAAATAAATTCCTGGGTGGATTAAAGAAGTAGGAGTTTAAAAAAAAAAAAAAAACAAAAATTCATTGATAGGGGCGCCTGGGTGGCTCAGTGGGTTAAGCCTCTGCTTTCGGCTCAGGTCATGATCCCAGGGTCCTGGGATCGAGCCCCGCATCAGGCTCTCTGCTCAGCGGGGAGCCTGCTTCCTCCTCTCTCTCTCTGCCTGCCTCTCTGCCTACTTGTAATTTCTGTCTGTCGGGTAAATAAATAAAAATCTTAAAAAAAAATTCATTGATAACTAATCTTTTCATAAGGAAGAACTTCTTAAGCAAAATCCAAAAATGCAGAAACAACCACAAAGAAAAAACTAACACTACCACAAAGAAAAAAAAAACTAACAAAGAAAAAAATGTAAGGTTTCTGTAATTCAAAAGACATCGTAAAGTTAAAAGGCAAGTGATAGGCTGGGGAAAATATCTGAGACATAAATAGACAGTAGGTTTTTTAAAGTTCCTAATATATTAAGACCACTTACAAATCAACAGACAAACAACTTAAAAGAAAACTGAGAAAAAATTAACAAACACCTCACAGAGAAGAAAATACACATGGCCAAAAAAGAAAGTGAAACATGATTGGAATCACTGATAATTGAGAAAATGAAGTTAGAATCTAGCAAGTTAACACTTTTCTACTTTTCACTGACTAGATTGGCAAAACAAAACAAAAAACAAAGCAGAACCAAACAAACAAAAAAGATAATTTCCAGTATTAGTGAAAGGTGAGAGAATGAGGGAATGAATACTTTGTATTTCGAGGAGAATAAACTAGTATCTTTTGGAAGCAAATCTGACAATTATCATTACAAATTTTAATGTGCATGCCTTTGAACACAGAAAATCCAATTCAAAGTATTTTCCTAAAACGTGTGCTCTGAGCATGGGGTCATAGGCAAGAATACGTACTGTGATATTTTCATAGTGAAAAATTGAAGAACATCCATATATATATATATGTATATATATATATATATATATCAACAGGGGAATACAGAAATTAGCCACAGGATAGCCACACTCAGACTAGGGCAGGTAAAAAGGAGGCAGACTTGCATATTCTGGGATGAGAAGGTGTCTAAGGCATAGAGTTTAAAAAAAACAAAATGCAAGGTGTAGAACAATGCAAACAGTATACTATTGTTCTATGTTAAATAGATACATGAATAAACAAACATGTTTCTATGTTCACATATACACATTTGTAAAAAGCCTAGGGAAGTCCTCAAGGTCTACACAACATAATTATTTCTAGAGAGGAGAGTGGAAAAAGGGGCAAAGGGTTTGTTTTTTTTAACTTAATTAAATACTTGAATTTTTTTTATGTTTTAAGGGTATTTATCTATTTTTAAATTTTAAAAAAGATTTTATTTATTTATTTATTTATTTATTTATTTAGAGTGTGTGCGGGGGGAGGGGCAGAGGGAGAGAGAGACTCTTCAGCAGACTCCCTGCTGAGCACAGAGCCCAATGTGGGACTTGATCTCATGACCCTGAGGTCAAGACCTGAGCAGACGTCAGTTGCTTAACTGACTGAGCCACCTAGGAGCGCCTCAGTGGGTTTTTAAAATCTGGAAATGTAGGTCCTTCAGGTCTGGAAAATATTTTTGTATTACTCCTTTGACCATGGACTCCCTTCCATTTTCTCTATTCTGTATTTCTTCTGCTGGGCTCCCTAGGTAGATCTTTTGCTTTCCTTATTTTTTTTTCTCTCCTCTTTTGCATACCTTTATTTATTTATTTATTTACTTTCTCAAAGTTTTCCTTGACTCTATCTTCCAAACCCTCCTGTTGGCTACTTTATTTCTGATGCCATATTTTCTTTCATTTTATTTGAATGTTTTACAATGAAACTCTATTCATGTGTTATTTATGTAATTAAAAATAATTATGTTGAATCGCAATGATGGATATAAAATCATTCATTATATTAATCTCAAATGCATGTTTAAAATTTTTAATAATAATTTTTAGTTGAATACATCGCTTTAAAAAAGGCAAATTTCTGAAGGCCTTTAACAAAATGTTAAAAATAATATTTTAAAAGTTGCTTTTGGATCCTCTTAGCAGCATAGGAAGGAAATATTAGCCCCTGACAGATGGAGGAACGAGACTCAGAAAGGCAAAGTAACGTGCCCAAAGTGAGGAAAAATGACTCCCACTCCCCATGGTTCTATAGCCCCTCAGCCCCCAGTGGCGGGGAGCACCCACCCAGACACTGGAGAGAAGGTACGAGCAGATACCATCAGAGGGAAGAATGGGGAGTTGGTTTCTGAGAAGACAGAAATAAATGGCTCCTCCCACCATGCAGAGAGAATGTTCACAGCCCCCAACAAGGCCACCAGCAAAAGACAAAGTCATGAAAGAAGGAAGTGATAAGGGAAGGCTAAGAAAGAAATAAGGAATTGCAGCCAGGACAGCAACACCTTAATAGTAACCTTCATTTATTCACTCATTCAAAAAACATTTATTAAGGACCTCTTATATGAGACCCCAAGGGGCCAGGGAATTCACTATGGGCAAGACAGACTCCATCCCTGGCCTCAAGGGGAACATGCTTCTAGAAAGAGGTGTAAGTGTCTATATACTGACAAGAAGAAAGAAGGGGACAGAAAGGGACTGAAAAGGGGAAAGAATCAAGACAGGCAAGCTTGAGGCACTGACCTAAAACTCCTTGGCTAAGGACTAGTATCAGCTCCCTAGTGACAGGCTGAGAACATTATACACAGCTCATCTAGTTTCTCTCTTTGCTTTGGCTACCAGGGAGCTCAGCGTGCAGTTCAGCACTCAGCTGTAGCCATCTTCCCTGGATCCCCTCTCTTCCAATGAACGGTGTTAGTTTTCACAATCCTTTACTTTTTCTTGAATATAGCAAAAATGCTTGTGAACATCTGGAGTATAAATAAATAAATAAAAATTTTAAAATGACTTTTTCCCATGAGAAAAGTTGAGGGCCCAAGCTAGACCATCCCCTGCAAAGAGCAATGTTCAGCACCCCTTGGCATGTCAGCAAGATAGCATCTGGTCATCCCTGAGCTCATCATGTTTGCACCTTATTAGAGATGAACAGGATGTTTACTGAGTCCAAAAACTCCAGTGAGGGCATACCTTACTGATTATTCACAACAGATTTGCCGGGCAGGGAAACATTATCCCAAATTTGGTCTTCTACCCCTTTCTAGTTCACTTAACAGAGAAGCCACAAAATTGAGACCCAAATGGGGCAGTAGTGATAATGATGATGGTGAGACAGACAGTGACCATGTGTGGGCCTCGCCCAGCTGTCTGACAGCATGTCTGGCCTGCTTCCCATTGCCCTGATAGGCCAAACTCGTTCCCATCTCGGGCTTCAGCCCTTGCTCTGCTCCCAGTCTTCCTCATCATGCCAGCCTCAGGTCAAATGTTCCCTCCCTGCTGACCCATTCTAAAGTTGCCCATACCCAGTCACTTCAGATCATTTTCCTAGCGTTTTCCATCTAAAATTACTTTATTTAAAGCAGTGGCCTACATCTGTCTTGTTCATCACTGCACCCCAGTACTAAGAACAAGGCCTGCCTGGCATGTGGTGAGCACTCGAATCTCTCTACAGAATCAAGGATGGAGGCGGGGAGGGCCTGCTTCGTGCTTTGGGTCCACAGTGACAGTGGGGGGCTCCGCATGGCTTGGTTCCCACCCCACCCCCTGTCCACATGGCACCTCCCACAGGTAGCATACCTTCGTAGGCCTCCTCTGTGTATGCAGCATTGATGAACCTGTCCAGGATGTCATTCTCCTCCGCGAAAGCCAGCAGGATCCGCACAATCTCCTTAGTGTTGGGGTTGATGTTTAACAAGGCCTTCATCAGGCAGGTCTTCCCCGTGTCAGAGGCTGTCAGCTTGTGCATGAGGAAGTCTGCAGGCAGGGTCATGGGTGAGCCGCGGGAGGGGCCCCGGCTCCCCCTAGGCCTCCCAGCCCTGAGCAGGGGAGGCCAGGGTGAGGGGGCTGCAGTCTCAGATCTTGAGACACCCATGCCGTGCCCTCCACTGGCCTCCTGGAGCCTGTGCTACCTGCTCCCCACCTCCCTCTCCAACTTTTGCCCCCTTGAGGCCCCCAAAAGCCTTATGTGAGGCCTTTAGCTCCCCGCCTTCTGCACCTGCTACCTTGGAGGGGACAATCTCACCCACTGCATGCCTTCCCACTGTCCACCTCAGTGCTGACACCCAAAATCTCCAGCCTGCCACCTCCTGGCAGCCCACAAATAAAGCTTATCACCTCCCTCTAACGAGCTATTCCCCAGTCCCCCAGACAACATGGGCCCCACCAGCCAGCAAGTCGCCAAAGGCGCTACCCGGGAATCCTCCCTTTCTCTCACTCCCTTTGTCCTTGGTTCCAGACAGTTCCCCTGCTGAGGAGCTGGTCACCTTCCCCCAGGTCTGCTGCTGTGATCCCAGCATTGCCTGAATAGTGCCCTTCTCCAGTTTTACACCTGCCCTCCATGCAGTAGCCAGACATGACCTTCACCTGTCTAAGCCCTTCTGTGGCTCCCCATTGCCCTCAGAGTCAGGTTCAATGTCCCCAGCCCAACATTCTGGGCTCCTCACATGCCCCCCTCATGGGTTGTTGTGGGGAAAGGTGGACAGCAGAAGCCAAGCTGAGCCCCCAGCCCCACACTCTCTCTGCTAGAGCCAGGCACTGACCAGCCACGTCCAGGCCACGACGCCGTTTGCAAAGTTCCTGCAGCTCCCCCAGCAGCTCCAGCAGCTCCTCCACGCAGCCCTCTGACACGGCTGCAAAGATGCGCTGCTTCAGCCGCTTCTTCCTCCGCCTCTGCTCTTCCTTGGCCAGGTTTGCACTGAGGCCAGAAAGTATCTCCAATTCACCACATGGGTGCCACCAACCTCCTCTCCCTCTCCTCCTGCCAGGGCCACTGTGCCTGCACAGAGCTGTACCACAGCCGGGTCCATGGCCCCAGACACCACAGCCGCAGCTCCACAGCCAGTCACCAGGCCCCAGACGTCTTCCACCAGCGCCCTGGGCCCCTGGCATCCGTGTTGCCCCATGCAGGCTTCCCTCCAAATCCAAATGCAATCACAGTTTTCCAAACTATATATTTGGATACACATAGCAAAGATGACTAGAAAGGACAATTAATAGTGATTATCTTAAAAAGTATGAGATGAAAGGAAGGAAAATCCCACTTTCATCTTTGGCAGTGTTTGAATTTTTAAACTCTGTCTCTCCCTGCCCCCACACTCCAAAGAGACAGCCATGGCAATTCGTATTTTTTTGTTTGTATGTGTTCTTGCAAAATGCACATGGTGTTTTGTGGTTTGGGCACATGTATTTTTAATTTACTTGTATGGGATTGTGTTACAGTTCTCGCTCTGCTGCAGACTGTTGTCTGAATATTTTATAATGAATGGGTAATACTTCTTATAGTTTATGAAATGTAATACTCCCCCCACAAAAGAAAATTCCTACATGCCACAGCCATGGGCCCAGACATTTGTCCCAGCCCCGGGAATGGAGGCTTCTTTCTCTTCCCTGGGTTGTGATGCCCGTGCCTCTGTCACCCACCTGGTGGACACAGTGGGCGGAAGGGAATGGCCAGACTTACCTGGGGCTGTTGGGATTGGACGGGGTCTCTGTCACATCGTCCTGAGGAGACTGTGGTGAGTCCATGTCATCACAGTTCCCAGAGAGGCTGTGGGGGAGTGGGGAAGGAAGAGAGAGAGACAAGTTTAAAAGAAAGAGACAACCAGGCCTGGCCATTAGGCCCCAGGTGAGTCACTGCCCATCCTAGAGTGGAGGGCTGGACTGAAGTAGGGGCTGGCAAGGGGGCCAGTACTCACCACTGCCGGATGTTGGAATCCATAGGCTTGGAGAAGACGGGGGGAGAGGTCTTGGAGACAGTGGGGTTGGGATCGAACCCTTCTATCTCCAGGAAGAAGTGTGCACTGTGGGGACACCCAAGCAAGGCCATTAGAGCGGGACAGGGACTGTCCACCCACATGCCCTCCACCCTGAGAGTGACCTGCCACACAGCACACTCGCTCTTGGCTGGCTCCACACTAGGCTCCATCCCTCATGGCTTCGCTCAAGCCGCGCGGCTGCCCTCTCATATAGGTATCATCCCAATCATCCACGCTTGACAGGTGGGCATGTGGAGGCTCTGAGGTCAAGCTACTTGCCCAAGCTCACACAGCAAGCAGGTGGCAGAGCTGGGTCTGGGTGACTCTTGTCACTAAAAATACCGGGAGACGAGCCCAGGGGTCTAGGGTGGCCTAGCATCTGAGGGGGACTTTCCTGTCTGCAGCTTCCTCCAGGTGCGAGGACTCACCAGAGATGGGGGACATGATAACAAGAGCTACAATTCCCCAACATTTCCCGCAATAGCCCCTCTGGCCTCAGGTCTGAAGAAGAGCTCTTCCAGGGGGCAGTCCCTAGTTGCTGACATCGACAAAGGCCTTTCCTGGCTGCCAGGGCATATTCAACCCCCTTTGATCATCTCTTGTACAGTTGTATCAGCACGGAAAACAGACCTAGAGCTAAGAGGGCATGTAAAAGTTCAGGGGACAAGACTAAGAATCCTCGTCAAGAAGGAAAACTCAGGAGACCACTTTGGACAGTGGACATGAGGAGAAGTAGAGGGGCAAATGAAGGGCACACTTTCTCCCAGGGCTGGAAGAGAGATGTGGGCCCAGGGCCTGTGACCTGACTAAGCCCCAGGGAAGGGGACAAACTTACTGGCCGCTCAGAGGTGAGACACACGTCCAAGATATGACTCCCGAGCCAGACACCCACAAACAGAGACACGCGTGCTCACAGAACCCACAATCACACACTCAGGGACAAGCCTTCCCATGACAACCAGGATGATGAGCACCAGGACAAGGGTCGGTTGCTGCGATACCTCCCACCCCGTGGCTGCTGCCACATACCTGCTGGCTCTGTGACCTGGCCTGGGAGAGTGGCCTCCTGACCAGCTGCTCTTTCTCCTAAATGCCTTTGCTGCCTGTTTCCTTCCCACACTCAGGAGGATCGACATGCCCCCTTCCTTTCTCATAGGACCACAGAAGAGCTCCCAAAGTACAGTTCCAGCCATGTCAAGTTCAGAAGGGTAGCAGGGAAAGGATTGTGGCCCCATTCTATAAATGAGGGAACTAAGGCCCAGGATGGAGCAGCAGATCACCATGGATATCCTTTGACCCCAAGGATAGAAGCCACGTTGGTCAGAGAACTGACTCGTGATTCCAGGCTCACAGTTTATACCATTATCCATGCTGCTCTCCTCTCAGCCCTCTGGATCTTCTTCTAGCCAAACTGGTTGTAGGGATTAGCTGAAATTGGACACTGCCCAACATAGCCACTTCCCCGGATGGGCAGGCATGAGCGAGTCCTGGGTATTCCAGGGTCTTCTAGGGTCTTCTGGGACTTTCCCAGACAAGACCCAGGGCTCCCTCTCCTGTCCTCCAGAAACAGACAAGACTGGAAGGCTCAGAACCAATCCAGAACTGGGGGATAATTGGGGTGGGGAGGCAGCACTGACTGGCACATTGGCTCTCACCCTCCTGTCTTCTGCCCATCAAGAGGATCTTTCTGACCTGAACTAAAATCAAATCCTTCTTCCAAAAGAGAATTACACCCCTGACTGGGAGCCCAAAACCTGGGTTCTAGTCTGGCTTTGCCTCTGCCTCTTTCTCCTGTGTGACCCGAGGATGGAGAGTGGTTGGGCCAGATGATCCTGGACTCTGAAGCCAGGACTGTTCTAAATCATCCACAAATGGACTGTGTAGCTAAAGTGGGCATCAGAGGTCATCCAGTCGGATCACCACTCCCAGCATCCCTGAAATGCCCCAGAAATGCCATCCTAAAGCTATTCTTACTTGTCTAGTCTCCTTGGTAGTACATCTACTCGACAAATATTTATTGAGCACCTACTGTGTGCCCCGCACTGTTCTAGGAGATGGGGATTAGACGGTGCAAATGAGCAAATGAGCTCATTTGCAAATGAGCAAAAATCCATTTGAAGAGCTATTGTTCCAGTGAACTGGTCAGAACTGGTCCCAAGGATTGGACCAGGGACCAGTGCATAGCACAATGAGGTCATTGCTTTCCCTACTCCAGACAACACACTGACCTTCAACTGTAAGATCCTCAATGGGAGGAAATACACTTGCAGTGTCCTTAATTCTCCAGAACCCAATACTTGTTCTGACACTTGGAAGACTTAACTGAACAGGGGAGCAGAATATGGATAGATAATGTGTGAAAGGAAGGGAAAATGGCTCATCAGATAGATGGACAGATAAGTTGGATGGATGAATAAGATGGTTAGAAGGCTGGATGGATGCATGAATGGCTGAGGAATGAGTAGTTGGGCAGATTGGTGGATAGATACAGAGGTGAGTGGAATGAACCAATAGATAGACAGACCAGTATAAACCTCAGGTGACTCCTATTGGGCTCTATGTTGCCCAAAGCTCTCATCTTTTTCTCAGTCTTTCCCAAGAAGTTGGGGAAGGGTCCTTTGCCTTTCCTCCAACTCCTCTCCTTCTCAAGTTCTCCTCCCAGAGTCCATAGGGGGCCCCGAGGGTGGACCAAAAACCAAATCATGGCAGCATCTACCTATTCCAGGCCTGGAAACCAAAGGGACAGAGGGAGTGGAGGAAATGTATCCTCATATCACCATGAAGTGTCCTCATTTGTGCTGAGGGACTGTGCTGAGCCCCCAGGACACTTACTCATCAGCTCACTCACTCTGTCTCTCGTTGTCTCACCTGCTCTTGTACCGACCCACCTATTTACTCAAAAAATACTAATATGCTCCGTGTAGGAAATGTGGGAAACAGGGAAGGAAGAGATGACCCTTCCAGGAACCTTGTCCTCAGAGACAAGGGAAAATCCCCAGAAGCAGGGAGAGCAGGTAGAAGAAAAGCTTCTATGGAAGAAGGTGAGGACTATGTCAGAGGAAGTCTTCAGTGGCTAGGAAGGAGAGTGGTGAAAGTCAGACTGGAAAGATCCCTGACCACGAACAAGGACCCAATTCCTGGGACAAGGAGCTGTAGACCATGACAGTCCATCCCACACACGCCTTAATTGCCACTGCACATGCCACATCTCACCTGCCATGGTGACAGATGGTGATGTCTTGGCCATGTGACAGCCTGGCTTCTAACCTGCAGCATATGCTGTTTGTTTATTCCTACCTTTGATCCAGACCAAAGGACACCTCACAGGTGTTGTTAACTCATGTGAGCACACAGCTCTCCACCATCTCTCCTTCATTTCTGTCCCTTTGAAGATGGTGAACTATCCCTGAGCATCCCCGGGGCTGGGAAGGAGGGCCTGTGTGACCAACTACTTTGTACCAAAAATTGTCCAAGTGCTCTGATCCCCAAAAGGCCAGCTCCTCCATAACCTTCATCAGCCCATGTCTACCTCAGGGCATTTGCCTTGCTCAGGATTCAGGAAAGAGGCCACAGTGGCAGCTGCTCATGAGAAATAGCATGATGGCTCAGGAAAAGCTCCGGGTCCAAAAATCTCTCCCTACTTAGACTTCTTGGTATCTTCAATCCTGCCATTAGTACAAATTTCCTTACTGGTCAGACTGGCCTTCTTTATTTACATTGAATTTTTTCTTTTCTTTTCTTTTCCTATCTAGGCTGAGTCCTATACTCAGTTTTGAGGGAGATGCTCAAACCTTCAGGGAGAAGTAGGCACTTGAGGGCCCACAAGGAGCCCTTGGGTAGAAGGTGCTACTGCTTCATGAGATGAAGTTCACATCTCACACCCAGGCCATTGGCTGTGTGAGAACATAGGTAGAGCTGAGTATGAGGCTAAGTTCATGAGCAGGGATAGGCTCAGAAAAGGCAGCTTGACTGTGGGAAGATCCTGGGATTTTCCTGAAGTCATGTTCACCACCTTTCCCTAAGGTCCAAACCTCCCCTAGGAATGGGAGAAGGCAGGGAAAGGGAAAGAGAGGCAGGGGGGTGGTGTTTGGTGGCTTGGATCTGGAATCTCTGCCCTTACCTAGACAACTAAAGCTGCCCCCATAGCCCCAGGTCTTCCCAGTTTTCTCTCCTGCACTCCAGGATGGAGCCTCCACCTGAACATCCCTCGGGCACTTCTCAGACAACATTCACACCTGAACCTGGCTTGTCTCTCCTCATCTTGCTCCTTCTCCTCTGATGTGCTCATGTCAGAGATGGCCCCATCAACCCTCCCATCAAATGAAGGGGATGTCTCTTGGTTTGCCTTGTCCTTCCCTTCTCATAGTTGATCCTGCAGACCCCATGATCCTGATAAATTTCTGACCTGACCCCCTCTTCCCCATCCCTGATCACCCAGGTTCAGACCTTACCAGCTATCACTCAAGCTTCCCAAGAGCCTCCTTGTCATCTTCCTGGTCCCAGTCTCCCCTCTAATCCATCATCCACATAGATCACCCAGACTATCCTTTCCAAAATGCAAATATCACCATGCCCTCTATCTCACATAAAATCCCTCTGTGGCTCCTGACTGCCCTTGGGCTTGTCCAAACTCCTTAACCAACCCCCAAGACCCAGCCCCCATGGGACTCATGTTCTCCAAGATTCCATCACCCACCCAGCACTTCAGTTACACATTTCCTCACTGGTCCCTGCCCCAAGCCTCCATCTGGGGATGCCATTGCCCTTCCTCTCCACCTGCCATCATCCATGTTAAACCAACTCATCCAGGAAGTGCCCTGAGTTGGCCCACAGTCTTCTCAGATCCCTTCTCATATCCTTCTCAGATCCCATCTCAGAAGTTGGGACACATCTCACATTCTCCTGGGTGCCCTTCTCACCAGACTGTGAGCAGGGATAGCTATTCTTTCTCTCTGTGTCTCAGTCTCCCCAGCCTGAGCCCTGGTGCACAGAAAACTCCAGTAATTATTACTCAAAAACAACAGACAGAAGGGAAATCGCCATTCTCACCTCTGGCCCAAGCAGGGTGCTGGGGCTGGGGCCAGAGGAGGCAGGGCAAACAAGCTAAATCACATCCGGGGCCCAGCAGGGTCCAGTGAAGACACAGCTTGTGGTGAGGAGGGTCATTTGGGCTGGAAGGGGTTGGGCGACCGCCACGGAAGCAGCTCAGGTGCCAGGGATGACCCTGGAGAAACACTCCCGTGCTTTGCTTCCTCCACATCCCCAGCTGGGAAGTAGTCGTAACCATCCCAGTCCTATTCAGTTCCCAGGGGCCCCTTGGAGTGACAATAACAATGACAGTGATGAAGATGAAGCTCCAAGTAACAAAAACACCATCAGCACGTGTGTGCAGGATGCCAACTGCCTGCCGACAACCCCAGCAAAACCATCACCCTATGAGGAGATGCCTTTGCTTCTCGCCCATTACACAGGTGGTGTTTAATAGCTTGAACACCCTGGCTGGGCACCCAATGGATGGGAAAGCAGTTGGTGTATGTGAAAAAAGCATTCATTTGGGGATCCAGGTTGCCTGGAATGTCCATGCCTCTTTCTGCTCCTTGTCTCACGGATGGCTCCAGGGATCCCTTGCCTCCCCGAGAAGCCCTCTTGAATATTACTGCCTCAGCACTTCTGATCTCTTCAAGGAGACCTCCCTGATTATTCCCATTGTAGTGGCTTCCCTAGCTCAGCCCCTGAACATGTAGGGCTGTTTCCCCACCCTCCCCCCATTTATACCTAGCTGGATACCAGGTCGCCCCAGATGAGACAGAGTCGTGTCGACCCCAGGCAAGGGCTGCCTGAGGGTGGGCACCAGAATCCCTCTTGTGTCCCTACAACACAGTGCCCAAGCCTGCCCGTCCTACCTCTTCTTGGTGGGGGTGATCTCTGCTGGCCTCTTCTCCTGCAGGACGGCAGGGTTCCCACTGGGGACAGCAGCTCTTCTGCCCATGAGGGGCACCATCTCCTTGGGGTGGGCATTCATGGCTGGAACAAAATCGTAGCACAGGTGCTTAGGTTGAGTGGACATGGGGGAGCTTAAGGGGGCTTCAGACGCCCATGTGGCACCGGGTGGTCCCTACTCATACCCCCAGGACAAGGAGCTCACTCTCTATCCTCCAAGCCCGCCAACTTACGTGCAATTCTTCCTGTTCCCTGCTCCAGCACCTCTGCCCTTGTGCATCCTAGGAGAGCCCAACAGAGCTTCCAGGCAGAGACCACCATGCCCTTAGCTTCTCTCAAGACATCATCTCCACCCACAATCTTCAGGAGGACTCCTAAGAATTAGCTCTGCTTTTTCCATTTCCCCATCAGATGTTGTGTTCAGTGATATCCTCAACAGAACAGGACTACTTTCTCCTTTGTCCTAGACACTCTGCTCCTAGTAATACAGCTTCAGGCCTCTTCGGTGCTTTGGATTTCTTACTACCCTGGTGGTCTCTGCAGCTGACACACTCATTATCTTTATCTTATCCCCAAGAGCTGAGTGCTACTAGCCTTGTGGCTATCTGTCTGTTAGATTCCCTTCTCACCTGAAGTGAGCAGCTGAGCTCCCTCCCCAGAGGCAGGCAAGGCAGCCCCTCAGATGTGCTCAGTACAGGCTGGACCCCATGCTGGGCTCAGAAGGATGTGCTGGGGAGAGGGACTGACGTGTCTTTTGAGAACTCTAAGGGGACCTTAGAGGTTTCTGTGTAGAGGAAGGATAATCTGGGCAGAGGGGATAGCCTGAGCAAAGACCACGCATCAAGAAAGATAGCAAGTGGCAAGGAGCTGGTGTGGCTGCAGAGCCCGGGGAGTTCTGGAGACCACTGGCGTGAGAGGCTCCAAAAGCAGGTGGGACTATGTTGTGAGAGCCTGAAACACCAGTGAGGAGTTGTAGCTGGTCCCAAGGGCAGCGGGCGTGGGAGGGTTTACACAGGAGACAGACATGTTAGAGATAGCAGACTATGAAGGATGAAGGAGACTAGCACATGGAGCTAGGTGCAAGCTAGCTAGCAGAAGGCTACTGTGGGGGCAGTATATGGCAGCACCCATGGAGAAGGGTAGGCTGGCCATATAGGATAAGATGGACAGGACAAAGGGTTAGTGGATAAGAGGTGACTCTGCAATCAACAGGGGGCCATCCTCAGCTTGAGCAGCCCTCAGAGAACACCCTCAGGGACATGGAGATAGGAGCAAGGGACAGATTTCCTCTAAGAAGAGCCTAGCTAGGTGGGGTAGAGCTGGGGACACTGGTAATCCTGGCCCAGATAGGAAAGCTTCCTGGAAAAAGTATCCAGAGCTGTTCGTTATCAGATGGCAATGAGGTTTGGAAATGGGACAGCTGCCCTCCCCAAAGTAAGCAGCCCTGGGAGAGGAGGAGTTATCCAGGGGAAGGCTTTGGCCTTGGAGTGCAGGGAACTTGAGGCCAGAGAGATGAAGTATCCTACCGAGAAAGAATCATGAGCATGCAGGTCCCTGACTGTCTCCATAGTCACAGGATGAGGATGGGTGGGCTTTAACTCCTTCCTCAGCCAGGAGTGGTCTATGGACAGATAGGGCTAAAAGGCCGAGCTAAACCAAGACTGAGGCAGGGGGTTGGGGGAGGGTAGGATGGAGGGCATGTCTCTTACCCTGGGCCTCTGTTTTCCCTTCTGATGAATGAGCTGAAAGGACCCCAGGACCCTAGAGCTCTCACCCATGACATCCGGCTGTTCCATCCTCCCAGCACTGGGCCTATGAGTTGGGGCAGCCCTGGGAAGCTGGGGCAGGAGAGGGTCAAGAAAACTCTGGGCTGGAGCTATAATTAGTGGTGATAATTAGCTCCCTGAGTCACCCCATAAACTCTGGATTCTCACCTGTGGGACTCTCTCACTGCCTTGCCCTCCCTCCCTGGGTTTGGCCTTCCTCACTGGAGAAGTGCTCCCAAGCCGTGATACTGACTGAACGGCCTTTCCCGGGAGACAGGCCAGGCCTGGGGCCCACAGGGAGCCCCTGCAGCTGTGGGCTTAGCCCCTGTGAGGTGCCTGGGCCTTGTCTCTCTCAAGCTCTGGGCTACCTCATCTCATCCTGAACGCCCCCCCTCACTTTCCTGCACTGGAGAGCCACATCCTGGGGCCCACTAGTGGTGACAAGAGCCTCACCTTTGCCCCTAGGTGGTTGTGAGCCCTTCCCCCTCCCAAGATCTCCAAACCTCAGGGAAGTTTCTTGGGTCCATCAGAACCTGGGCTCTGCACTTACTCCCCGGGCCAAGAGCTTACACCTCACTTTGTTTCTCCTGCTAGAGATACAAGCTTCTTCCCAACCCCTCCCCCAAGGCCTATCAGCAAAGGGCAGATGCGACCTAAAGGACCCCTTTAGTGAGAACCCTGGGTTCTCACTCCAGGGTCCCCTAGGACCTTGGAGAGTGCTGGCTGCCATGTGTGGTGAGGACTCACCTGGTGAGGTCTGGGTGGTGGTGGCTGCCTTTGCTCTGAGATCACCGCATGTCCTGGGCCCAGGGACCCCCAGAGGGACTGCGGCTGAGGCGGCGGGAGGCTCTCATCCTAGGCAGAGAGAGGGTTGAAATGAGGCGTCAGAGGCAGAACTGGCTGGGCCACCTGCCCTAGGCGTCAGGCAGGCCACACCCACCAGCCATAGCTGCAGCGCCTGCCCACCCACATGCCCTGCCTGAGTCACCCCACACCCACACAGCAGCCCAGCCTAGGAGAAGGCAGGGGAGGCAACAGGTGCCAAGGCCAAAGTTTTGGTCCCAACTCTTTTCTCTCTTGTAGTTGATGCTTCCCATCACGGGCCTCAGTTTCCCCAACTGGGAAATGGGAATTACAACTACTTTCCAAGGATGCTGTGAAGAGTCAAAGAGATCATGCTGGTGGGAGAGCCCAATGAATGGTCAAGTGCTCTGCCCTGAGCCCTGGGAGGAAAGGCCACAGCTGAGCACTGGCTTGGTCGATCCCAGGGTAGCCAGTACCAAATTGGTATCTGTCCTTCAAAGTCTAGGATCAGATCCTTTTAGAGACAAAGGAAGTCCCCATTCAAAGACTACCACCAGGGGCACCTGGGTGGCTCAGTTGGATCCTGGAGTCCCAGAATCAAGTCCCACATCAGGCTCTCTGCTGAGCAGGAAGTCTGCTTATCCCTCTGGCCCTGCCCGCCCCCGAGCCCCCACCCCATGTTCTCTCACTCTCTCCCTCTTTCATTCTCTCTCTCTCTCAAATAAATAAGTAAAATCTTTAAAAACAAAACACCACTTACCACCAGAAATTATTTACTTCAGATCTTGGTGTCAAACAACCTCACCCCTCTCTGGCTCTATGATCTTGAGCAAGTCATTTCTGCCATTTCCTGTCTGTGAAATGTGCATAATAAATCCACTTTGCAGGGACACCTGGGTGGCTCAGTCAGTGAAGCGTCTGCCTTTGGCTCAGGTCGTGATCCCAGCGTCCTGGGATTAAGTCCCACATCAGGGTCCCTGCTCAGTGAAGAGCCTGCTCCCTCTGCCTGCCACTCCCCCCACTTGTACTCTCTCTCTCTCTCCCTGACAAATAAGTAAAAATCTTAAAAAAAAAAAACAAAAACTTAAATAAATCAATCAATCTGCCTTGCAGAATTATTTGAGAAAACACATAGAAAGGACTTCAACAAGACCCAGAGGACAGAAAGAACTCAATAAACAGCAACAGTCATTAATTCTGACTGGTTTTGTCATCCTGGTCCCTTCCCCCAGCAACCACCTGGGCCACCTGCCTCCAGGCCAGATGTTGGGGAAGATTCTACACCCTTCCTCCTCAAGCAGGCCAAGGCTGTGAAGGGGGCGGAGCGAGGCTGGGGCAGCCCTGACTGTCTCTTGTTACTCAGGAATCGCACACCTGTCCCCTTGGGCAGACAGGATTGGGAGGGAGCAGGAAGTCTTGCTGACAGGGAGGGTGCCCATGACTGACACAGCAGGGATTTCCCCAGCTGCCCTCCGGGGGCCAGTCCCTCCATCCCTCATCACTACAACCTTCCAGCCTGGGCAGAGGCAGGCGGCAGACTCAGTCTTCTGACCATAGGGCAGCAGGACCTATGGCCAGTAAGGGTCAGGAAACCTGGCTTCAGTCACAACAAATGTGGGCTGCTTTGGTGGTTTTACATCAAGTGGTCCTGAAGTTCCCACAAACATTGCCTGAAACTCCATCATGATAGCTTGACCTTGGATCAATCATAGCCTTCCTTCTAATACTCAATTAATTTCCCCTTCTGAATCAGCCCCCTTGTCCCTCTTAGCTTTACTTCTCGTGGCCTCAGAACCCTAGGGACACGGCTGTTGTCAAATTTCAGCATTTACATTTTGCCTGGTGTTGACACTTTTTCTCAAAGGCCAGGCTGGAACCTCTCTAAAAGACCCCTGTCCCCACCCAAAGTCCCACACTGTGCCCAGCAGGGAGTTTGCTGTTTGTGGGATCAGGGACCAGATCGCAGCAGTCAGAACCACTACCCACCCCCCACCCTGCTCCTACCCCAAATACAAGGAAACAGCAACTCCTGCCCCTTGAGCTGGCCTACGTTCAATCCCATTTAATGCAACACATCGTGAGATCCCACAGTAGGATACAAGGCAGGCAAGCAAGGACCAGCATAGGATTTAGTACTAGAGAAAGTGGTCTCCACCCTCAAGAAACTGTGGGCCACACAGGACACAGGCTCAGGCAAGAACCATAACCCCACTCAGCAAGTTGTAAGGACAAAAAGGGCTTGGGTCACTGAGGAGGAAGGAAATCTGGCCCATGGGGCAGTGGGGGATGGGCTCAGGGAAGGGAGAGCATTTGGGCTACACTGGGAATGAGGGAGGACCTTGTACACGGGGAGAGCAGCAGGAGCAGAACTGGGAGGCAAAAGATCCTGGCACATTCAAGGAACGATGATGAGCTTGGGTGAATAATGCACAGCCTCTGTGGAGTGTCAGACAGGAGCTGTGAGTCGGGCCACAAGCCACTGAGTCAGCTCTGACCCTTTCATCACAGGAGG